GTATTTGTTATACAGTGAGAGTGCAGATCACTCCTCAGAGGGCCTTCGTACTACCTCCCAAGGGGCAAAAAAGGTAAATCAAGCCATACTGCCATTAACCAAGATTTAAATCTGCCCCTCCCAGGCCCCCCTGTCTCTGCAGGTCACCCAGCTATGCTTTCTGTGGCACCTCCTCCAGCTGCAGTTCCAGCACCTATGGCTGGTCCTCCAGCCCCACCACCACCACCAGGTCCACCACCCCCAATGGCCGTGCCCCCACCCATGCCCCCTCCACTGCCCACTGGTGGAGGGCCTCCTGGGGGGCCACCTGGGGTCCAACCCTCAGGACTGGCTGCAGCACTGGCTGGAGCCAAACTACGTAAAGTACATCGGGTGAGCTACAATGGTTAAAGCTTAGGAGCTGTAGATCCAGTTGTTAATTGTTGAAGCCATGCTACTTGTGTGTGTGTGTGTGTGTGTGTGTGTGTGTGTGTGTGTGTGTGTGATCAGTGGGAGGAGGGGGGGTTAGGACACAAAGTCTGCTCTCAGTCGAGAAATCACCCCTCAGAAAAAAACTGAAACCCATTTTACAATGTATTCTTCAGGATGAGAGCAGTCCGCCCGGGTCTGGTGGCAAAAGTGACTCCAACCGGTCTAGTGGTGGCAGTGGTGGTGGTGGGGAGGGACTGATGCAGGAGATGAATGCCTTACTAGCTCGCAGGTACAACTGTTACACAAACACAGCACACCTTTCCTTACACTAACCATGCAGAGAAGCATGAGAAAATACCTGTTCTTCCATTCGATCACGTTATACCAACATTTACATTTTTCATCTTCCTTGTTCCGCTTTACTTGCAGTAAATGTTTATCTCTTGTACTAATATTTTATCCATGACTCAATCTTTCTGTCTTAGTTGCTAAATTATTTGAATATGTATCTCACTGTTGGCTCATGTATTCCTTTCCCCCTCTCCTAGACGGAAAGCCTCAGAGAAACCCGATGAAGTAAGACTTTTTGGGAATTGTTAATGTTAGATGAGAAGATTGATACCTCTCTCATGTCTGTCTGTTAAAGCTGAAGCTGTGGCCTGCAGCCGGTTTGCTTAGCTTAGCATATAGACTAGAATCAGAGGCAAACAGCTAGTCTGATCTGTATGCTAATCTAACTCTTGGCAAGAAAGATAATAAGTGTATTTCACAAAATGTTGAACTAATCCTGTGATTTTTAATTGAACCTTTTACACTAAAGCTGATGAAATTCTCTCTCTCCTGTAGGACGACTCTAGTGGTCGAGGGCCAGGTCAGCAGAACTCAACAGGTACAGAACAGCCCACTCACCAGATTATTATATAACACAGCTTGTACATATATTCCATAAAACAACAAGTTTAAAGACATCTTTTGCTCTGTGTTACAGCCGACTGTTTCATAGTTGTTTGATTTTATTTCATTTATTCTTTCCCCCTCTCCAGATGCTGTGAAGAAGCCATGGGAACGCTCAAACTCTGCAGACAAGTCCTCACTGGTGTCCAGGTCTGTTAGAGGAAGAGGAGTGAAGGGAGTGTGGTTTGAATATGAAATAGTAAACCTTTAACATCAGGGAATTTCCAGGAATTTCAGCATAAAGCTCATCCTTTGCACGATAGGCAACTAACATAAATTAAATTAGGATGAGAAGAATTGTCTAAATGGTGGTTAGGTTTAACAAAAAACCCTTGTAACGATACACAGTCCTTTTAAATATTTAGTGCGTAATGCTCATCCGCTGAAAAGAGGCTGCTTTTAGATTCAATCAGTTTGTCCTCTTGTGTTACAGAGTGAGACCCATCGGCAGCACTAGTGAAGCAGACACAGAATTTGACAGGATGAAACAGGTTGGTGTGATGTATTTTGTTACATGAGGGATATAATGGGTTTTTGTACAGTGAAGACTTACTATTTTGCACATCCTGTCAACTCACAAGCACTTCTTGTTTTGCAGGAAATTTTGGATGAAGTTGTACGTGAGTTGCATAAGGTGAAAGATGAAATCATTAATGGTAAGCAAGTTCATTGCAGTATCCGGGAGCAAAAAGCATGTTTAATCTTTAATCCTTTCCACACACTAGTTTTTACAACTCACTAGCTGTAAAGTTTACTATTAAGAGTGAAATAATCACATGAAAAAGCTAGTTGACACTGTTAATAATTCATAGTACTTCTATTATTCCCCCACATCTAATGCAAAGTTAACTGGTATTTCTTGTCTTGCAGCCATCAGACAAGAAATTGGCAGAATCAGTACATCCTAATCTCATCTGAGCAACAGTAGGAGGAGAGCAAGAGGAGGAGCTGGAGGAGGATGGACATGCAGATGCACAGACACGAGGACCCGGGAATGTTCTCTCAATGTTTCTGTGACCTCGCGATGCCATGATGCAAGTTGCAGAGATGTTGTGCCAACATTTGAGTCTGCTGGACAGCGAAAATGGAAGAAAGAAAAACAGAGAAGATGAAAGGGAAGGGGTTAATGAGACAGAGCTGCAGGAGTAACAGAAGGATGGATAAAGAAAGTGTAAAAGGACTGATGAACTCAAACAGACAATGAAAAATATACTAAAAGATGAATTGAGGGATGGACGGACATTCGTGCTGAGTGTGGTGTTGTGGTCCTCTCTGTGCACCTATAGACTCAGTCAGCCCAGTGTTGCAACTCTTTGTTCTCTGTTCAGTCCAAGTCTTAAGAAGAAAATATTTTTGTTTTCTAAGTTTTTACTGTTTTATTATTTAAAAACTGTGGTGATAATGATGATGCTGTTGATGACAATGAGTATTTTATTGATATTATAGAAGGAAAAAGGAATCTTGCACACCATTTATGTCAGCCTTTTATATTTTCTAATGTTATTTTTTGTTGAGTTTAGCCCTAACTATTTGATGATAACAAGCACAATATGGGTATAATGGTGCTGCAGACTCACCTGCCCTGAACTGGCTTATTTAAAAAAAAAAAACAGGCTTTTTTATGACCTTGTTCATACTGGTGATGTGTGTCTAATCTTTTCTCTCCAGAGAGGTTGGAAAAAATTGTTAAATGTTTGAACCACAATTAGCCACTCAAATTATTACCTCTTACCACATTAAAAGTGAGCAATTGATTTTTTGGCAATTAATCAAGTAACACACAATAACAGTCTGCTCTACAACTCCAGTGTGACAGAGGTACTTGTTTCTCTCTACCTGTTCAGATGTGTGAGATCAATGAAACTTGGGGATCATTCACAAAACAGGCCGATAACTGTAAATGTGCCACCTGGTTTTACCTAGCTAGAAAACAATGTAGTACTATCTATTAGTCATCCTATGCTTTGTGAACCTCCCAAGTATGCATGAAACCCCCCATTTCTATGAATTAGTTATTTATTTGGTTTGAAAAAAAAAAAAAAAAAATACAAACGGTGGTACATTTATTATAGTGGTTTGTTTCCATGAAGATTCCCCTTTCTATATATGAGATGTTGAACTTGATAATGGTAGCAATGTGAAGATAATGAAGGGGGTTGCTCTGGCAATATGCAAATCTTATCTAGATAAGAAAGTGAATGGTAGGCCTATGTGATGGTAGCTAAATGTGTCTTTGCAGGAAGGATTTGGTTGATTATCGGTTGTTGCATTCTATCCACTCTGTCCGCTCTCAACTACGTTCTGATTTAAAAGCTGGAAGTAAATTCATTCAAAGAAAAACAATAGACTGTGTCAGCCATCTACACAATATCCTGCTGTGTGTGTGTGTGTGTGTGTGTGTGTGTGTGTGTGTGTGTGTGTGTGTGTGTGTGTGTGTGTGTGTGTGTGTGTGTGTGTGTGTGTGTGTGTGTGTGTGTGTGTGTTCACACTTGTGTTTTGGTACATGTGGAAAGTTTAAATGGTTTTCACCATTAGAGTATATTTTAATTATGTTTGAATAAAATAAAAGGGTCACATCTGGTTACCGCAAAACAGACAGGAAATGGAAAACCAAGGACAAACTAATATTCTTGATAGTATTTTTTTCTTATAAAGATCTTTTACTGTTTTATATATATATATATATATATATAGTACATTGATTTAAATACAAACAACAAAGATCATGCTTATTTATCACAACACACAGATTGAGCTGCACATACAGTGGGTGGACAAAACATAACTAACACTATACAATAAAATTGCTCTGTGTTAAATACTAATTTGGCAATGCTTGTAATAATTCGCTGTAGTTTGCTGACTGTCAGTGAGTGAAAGCTAGAGACCACTGCTCCTCTTTAACAGCTAATGCTCTTTTCTTTTGTCTGGCTTAAGTCAACATGATTTCTAAGGTTTTTCTTCTCACTTCATTACACATTATACATTTCCATTTTGTGTAGGGTATACAAGCAATTCAAGCACTGATTATCTGGCCTATTTTCACAAGTTTTCTTGTGTTGCCTTGGATACTCACAACATGAAAAATGTGTCACTTTCACAGGTGATTCAGTGTTGCTTCCTGAATCACTGGTGCATCGGTCATGACCACCCAGAAATGATTTAATATAGTGATCACTAAACTCACGAAGACAGAGGCCAAATTCATACAATTGCATGAGCAAGGAGGACCAGTGGTCCCAAGATGGCTCACCAACAGTTTCAAAAAACCAAACATTATAAGAATATTCTAAAGAACTACTTTCATTATACAGTGTTTCTGTTATTTTGTCCAATCCCTGTAGATGTAATCAGTTTATTTACAGCACGCAAACAAGCAGAATGGGGCGTCACTGAAGAAAAGGCTCTTCTGACTGAAAAGTAAGTTTCAATGCTCATTTTCCTCCTCAGCACTGTTCTGCATGATAGATGTGAAACTGTATTAGGTAATCTGAGAGGCTTTGTGAGCTTCGATTCATACATTCAGAAATTCTTAAGAAGCCGGGCGTAATGCTTATGAGCAGGAAAGGGAGACCACAGAGCTAGGGACGTCTCTATAAAACCTCATGAGAATGTATGCGACCATTATCCTATAATAATGAGTACTATCATTTGTGGTCTCCACCTGCAGATAAGGAAATATTAGCTTTTCATCCTCATTTTGTCTTCTGGATACAAGGAAATGTTATCACTGCGTCACAGCAACAGGCCATTCAGACTTTATCTGAATTCTTGTCCCATTTCCTGACTGATTTAAGATGTCCAACATATTAGAAGGTCTATACAGTGACAACCACATACTACATGGGGGGGGAAAATAGATAATATTTAATAGTAGTCCATAGATTTTTAACAACTGAAATTCACATTCCTGTTCAAAGGGAAACATATTCAGTCACAGATCTATCCCTGCTTGTTTAGCTTGTACTCCCGTTTGATTCTGGCATAGGGCCCGATGCTGTCGTCAAACACGAAGTCCCATAATACCCGGGTCCAGGAAGTGTGTTGTGGAAGGGAATCGTAATACTCTGCTGCGATTTGCTTGACCTGCCAAAAAAAGGAAACATTGAGTGAGAATGAGAGCTTAGGAAGAAATAAGAATGTAAACTGTACATCAGGTATATAACCTTCTGTATATATGAGGTGTCAGAAGCACCTCAGGGACCAATTCAGGTCTAATTCAACATGGTCTTATTTCACTAGGACAGTCAGATACAGACACAATTGTACACAAGTACACAATGACATTTGATTTCTCTTCCAAAGTCCCTTTTTTTTAAATCCTAAAAAAGGTCTTTGATAGTTCAAATAGAATGAAACAAAATAGTTTATTCTAATAAAATTAAAATAAAATTGTCATATTCCCTCTGTTAAGAACAAAATCGCTCATAAACTAAAGAATCTCTCAATCAGGTTGTAGCTGTCAGCTGTGCCAAAAGGCAGGTATCTCACTTTGAATCTCTTCATACTCTAGTGGTGCTAGACGGGCAGCAGTTAATCAGTTACAAAGGCTGGCCTTTCATCTGATAAATATTTGCAGTTGATAGAATGTCATGTTGCATTTGCAGATACCTTTTTGTTTAAGTTCTGAATGATGGGAGAGGCCCTTCTTATCTGCCCACACCTGGAGGTGATGTAAGTGTTGCAACTGTCCTCATTCTCAACTATTAATAGTCTTGGAAAAAATGACTCAAGAGTTCACCTGTTGCAAACGTAGCCATTATTTATCACAGTAACACAGTCTCACCTGAGGTAGTTTACTGCCAGGAATGCTCGGGAAGTCATGGTGCTCCATGTGATACCCGACATTGAAGGTGATCAAATTCAGTGATCCATAGTAAGAATATGTCTCGTGTCCTTTCAGGAACATGTAATGCTCAGCTATGAAATGTCCAGAGATAGGATGCAGTCCCATACACAGGATAGACCCCGCAATGAGGTAAACAATGGGCTTCAGCCCCCATAAATAGTAGATAATTAAGTCTACTGTGAGTTGAACAAGTGCATTCTGGATCTCCAGCTGGCCTACTGGCTTAGGATTGACCACTAATGGGCGAAGGGCGTAGAAGAAGGGTTGGAGGAAGAGCCAGAGGACCTTCCTGGCCGGGGTGCAGAAGAACCATCCCTCAATGTCTGTAGGGATGTCAACATCCAGCTTGTCGCCACCCAGATACCGATGGTGGTCGATGTGATACTTCTTAAAGGAGGCAGAGTAAGGCAACCCGATGGGCAGGTTGGCCCACATGGCGAACCAGCGGTTCCACTTTGCCAGCTTGTTGCCAAAGGCCACATTGTGAGAGATGTCATGGATTGCCAGAGTCAGGGAGTGGTTGATGCAGCCTCCGAAGCTGTAAGCCCAGAAGATGATCCACTTCCAGGAGAGGTCCCGGACCAGGTAGCAAGCCAAGAGCTGGGTTAGGACCATGCCCGATACCACCCACTTCAGTTGGGGGTCCGGACCCATCAGAGACTTGATCTCTGGATATTTGGCTGAGGAGAGAAGCAGATGAAAGAAAAAAAAGAGGACAGAGAGAGAAAAAGTAACAGATTATTATTTATTGTTTTAATAAGTATGTAGGATGTAGAGAAAGTAAAATATCAGTCCTGAGTCCAGCAGAGAAAGATTTTTTAAAAAGCTAGTTCTCAACTTATCACTGTATAATACTGTGGCCTGATACTATGTATACCAAAGAACACAATCAAGCATGTGGTATACCTGCCCTCCTCCTGGGAAGAGCCTGCTGACAAAAGTCAATTTTTAATTGCCAGAGGTGTTGTTTTGCTGAGGGACATGAAACTCAGGCAGATACAAGGGAGTGTCCAAAAACATTTCACTGTAACAACACGGGCTTAATTTGTCATTTTAGTTTGTCGTTAGTGTAGAGCATCATTTACATTTAGAACTCAGTCTACTTGGCAGGAGATAGAAGGTCTTTGTTACACTGGTATGAAGTCAGGAGGGGTTGTCCTATCACAGGGGTTAAGGAAATTATCCCAGCATGCATTAGACGAAACAAAGTCATGCAGCATGCGGCCATGCAAATCTCGCTTTCAGGTCACTTGGCTCTATGCAAATTGGTCCAGAGGCTGCTTTCAGTGCCATTTCTGCTGCATGCAGGTATCACCTCCACCGAACAAACCCTCTTTATTTACTTAATGTTTAGCCAAGAGAAATTCCCCACTCCACCCCCGCCCCCACCCCCCACAGCCAGTCACTCATTTTAAAAGATACAGTTCCAACATAATATTTAGTTTATATTTCTTTTTAATCTACTCTATGATAGACTCACCTCCAATGTGTCCCCATGTTATTTAAAGCCATATTTAGAGGCTATTTCTTTAGGTGTTTGGGTGTGTAACCCACTCACAGGGTATAAAGTTAAATGAATAACCAGAAACCATAAAAGAATCTATTTGAACATGATTTACAGCCATCACTGGATCTCTACATCACCATGTCAGAGAGACAATAACTCACAAACTCAACCTGTATAAAAAAGGTTTCAGCCTCAAGTTTCAACTCTGATTTATTTCAGATTCAACTGCATGCTACAAGTCAAATAAACCATTCAATCAAGCATCACTGAGAGCTGAAATGTCAGGCAGTGTCATGAATCATATGTGACCTTGTGAGATACTGTAATGTGCAGGATACAGTAATATAAAGTTTATGCGGTGGGAGTTGAGACAAAGTCCACAAACTGAAAACATGTTAAAACAACTAGCCATCCAAATTCCTAAAACCACTTGTCAATCAAAATATCTCACAATAATGCAAAAGAAAAGCAGGGCTCAACGACCTCTGCCTCTCCCATCAGGGCAGGGCAGAGGATAATTAAAACTAAACGCTTTAATAATTGAAGACTCACTGGTGTCACACAATCCATCACCTGCAACCATGCGACTGCTGGACAAAGCCAAGATCAAATATACATCAACAGGTTCAGATCTTGTTCAGCTAAACGGTTTCAACTCGAGTTACATCATGACCAAAGATCACTTTTCTTGATAGAGATTTGGTAAGAAAATAACACAACCCATAGATCAGACAGATATTCTCTCACATTAATGATTACAGATGTGGTTTAAGGCGGTTTTGGTTAACGAAGTTTATTCTTTTAGGGATCCTCCCTGATCCCCTGACTCTGTTTGTCGTGGGCATGTGTCTTGTTACCTAGCAAGCAGGTGCATTGTCAGTCGCACCTGCTATCAATATGCTGTTATTGTCTCACAGGTCAGATAAAAAGATGACTGAGAGGCAGATTGGCTTACGCGAAAAGATCATAACCTTTTTTCTTTTTTCCCCAAGAAAAACTCAGTAAATCATCTGGTATTTAATAGTCACAGTTCCTCCTATAGTTATTTATAGTTATCTTTTATCATCATGCATTGTGCTGTAACGTGGGTTCAATTTATTATCTGGGCGGCTCCCACTCCCTCTTACTGAAACTAAGTGATTTTTTTTCTTATAAAACGTCTGTGCGCAAACATCTGTAAATACTCCCAGGTTTGAGTCAACGTGACACACCCATTAATATTTGACATCAGCTGAATTTCAAAAAATATAAAATGATATTTCTACCTGTACTTGTAAGTGAATTTTTCAAAGCTGTGTTCATCTTTAGAAACATGCCACCTTCTGCATTTCTCTTGCATACTTTGTAGTCTGGTAGGTTAAGCAACAGCTAGTAAACAGGTTTAACCGGCTGGCAACGATTTTATAAGTAGGCTGTGGTCAGAAAAAGACTCTCTCGCTTCAACTCAAACTAACCCGACATTTAACTTTAACTGTTCACAAAGTTTTTCTTTTTTTAAACTTCTTTAAATTTCTTACCCAGAATTTCTTTTCTTCTTGAAGTGTGAGGCTGGTCAGTGTAGACCCATTCAAAGTCGTCCCTTCCACCTGTCTTCCCCATGACTATCCTCACTGAGAATGGAAGAGCCGACTCCGTGGCGTTATGTGTGTCATCAAACCTGCACAGTATCGGGGCACACCCACCAACACAGGTTGTAGGCTGAAGGTGCAAAAGGTGTGATAACTAGCCCCGCCCTCCCGGAGGAGGGACGAAGTGGAGCAAGACAGTGTCACCTGCTGAAATCTGTGCAACCTTAGGCTCTCCAGCTCAACTGCATCTTTACATTATTTATTTTATTATATTGTTAGAGGGAGACTAAAGCTAAAGCACGGCAAAATAAAATTAAAAAAAAAAAGAAAATACAGTCCAAGCAATCTGCACTATAATTTGTTTATTGACAAGACCACCTTGTTGTAGGCTGTTCATACCCATCCCAACCCATGTAACACACTGCTACTGCTAAATATCAGTGGAATTATCTAATAATTATTACATTATAAGTGATGCAGATAATATTATGATTTCACTCTTGAGAACCTCCAACATGCTGTAGTTCTTACCATTACCACCATATGAAAGGAGTTTTCCTGAATTGTCTTTCTGCATAGGCTTAAGAAGTGTACTGATTTGCAGTCTTGATAAGTTGATTATATATATATATATATACATATATATATATAATATACGTGTGTATATATATATATACATATATGTATATTTATATACATTTATATGGTTTGGAATTGTTGCTCCGACAAAAACAGCAATTTGAATGTGTCACCTTGGGAAAATCCTCTGGGAAATGATCTTCAAACTTAAAAAACTATACATTTTCACTTTATAGACCAAGCAGTTAATCAAATAATAAAACAAATAATTACCATGTTATTTAGTAATACAAAATATCTAATGCAACTTTAATTTGCAATAAATTAATGTTATTATACACAGTTCAAGTAGGCTATGTCCTCATTTACATTAGTTTGAGTTGTCTAATTATTTTGAAGCATTCATTCATAAATTATGATTAAATGTTTCCTATAAATAACTGATGCCATACACATTCAAATTTACTTAAATATCCTCATGGTAATAACTTATACTGTAAATCAATAAAACTGCAGATTGTATGATCCACATTTTAACCACAGACTGGGGGGAACTCTTTAGTCCAAATCACGCGAGACTTCAAAACTGGAGCAGTGTGGCGACGAGAGTACAGTAGTGTAGAGTTGTTTTCGGAGAGGGAGGAGGAAGGCTGTGTAGACAGGAGGGAAAGCGAGAGTGTACAAAAAAAAAAAAAATTACCATACAAGTAGGAGGAAATACAACATTAATGATGGCATCGGGGGACACGCTGTACATAGGAACGGACGGGTCAGAAATGCCGGCCGAGATAGTGGAACTGCACGAAATCGAAGTAGAGACAATCGAGACAACAGTTGTTGGAGACGACGGTGAACACCAGCCTATGATCGCCTTACAGCCTCTTGACACGGATGATCCAAACTCGATTCACCCGCACCAAGAGGTGATTCTGGTGCAGACGAGAGAGGAGGTGGTGGGCGAGGATGACTCTGAACTGCACACGGACGACGGGTTTGAGGACCAAATCCTCATCCCGGTGCCCGCAGTGGAGGAGGACTTTATCGAACAGACTCTGGTTACTGTCGCCGGGAAAAGCTCGTCGACAGGCCGGATGAAGAAGGCTGGAAGCGGAAAGAAAGCGGGCAAAAAGAGCTATCTGAGCGGAGGAGAAATGGGCAGAAAATGGGAACAGAAGCAGGTCCAGATAAAGACTTTGGAGGGGGAGTTTTCGGTGACTATGTGGGCATCGGGTAAGTTCAGAGTCCTGTGTGAATTCCTGCAAGCTGGTTCCTCGCTTTGTTCTCAGCGTGTGTGCCGTGTGACTGGGCCCAGGTGGGGCCTCGTCCTCCGCCAAAGTAGGAATTATTTCCAAGACTCTGAGCCACTTAAACTTCATTTGAAATGTTTTTGTTTTTATGGGAAGCCATGTTTTATGTGTCGATGGGCGCCGCCATATTTTCCCGGTCTAGAAAGTATGGCGGCCCGAAAAAATGGCGTTTATTTGGCCGACGAAGATGGCGGCGAGAGTGGGAGCGAGTGCAGCTGGCTCCGCTAGGCCGCTGTGGCGCAGTTCAGTTCAGCTGTAACGGCGGTGGTGCCTTCAGGAACCCCTCATACTTTACACTTCCGAGGCTTTAAACACACCTTATACGTGCATATCGTTCAAGCGAACTAGATTCTGTGTCGAAAAGTAGTTCCTCTAATTGTATCGTGCTGTGCATATATATATATATATATATATATATGTAATAAAAATACTTTTTTTATCGTTGTAACCTAATAAATAAACATTGTTTGGTTTAAAAAGGTCTGTTAAAAATAATATAACATTTTCAGTTGAATATTTGAAATGTGTTCATGTTTGTAAACATGGCAGCGTGGATCTTCCGTATGTCATTTCAAACAATTAAAGCTAGTTATTTTCAGTGAGATTGTATATAGCGCTACATGGAAAAAGTCCATAATAAGAAATCGTGAAAAATATCTTTAAACTTCTGTATTTTCCCCCGTATAAAAAAAAACCACTGACACATTTGGTGGCTATGTCTGCAAAGTAAGCCTATTCAATACAGAGCTTCGAGCCATAACCCGTGCTTTCTGTCACATATTTTGTGTTAGTAGTAAATGAGTAACATTAGAGAGTGTCAGGAGATAATGGTTGAGCTCAAAGTGGTTTTAATCAATTCGTTCACATGTTCTGGTACTGTTTTAATTATCAACACATCCGTCCCTCTCATTCAGATGACAAGAAGGACATAGATCATGAGGAGCAAATCACGGGTGAAAACTCTCCTCCAGATTACTCGGAATACATGACAGGGAAGAAGCTTCCTCCTGGAGGCATCCCAGGCATCGACCTGTCAGACCCCAAACAACTGGCAGAGTTTGCACGGTATGTGGTGATGTTGATGTTTGTTTATGTTTACCCAGGGTCAGTGTATCTTCTGCAAAGTGACTGTAAGAGGAATCATTTCTCCCATTATATTCCACATGATGATTCAGTGAAATCTTGTTGAACGTAATCAGTTTAAGAAAATTATGATGTAAATGACTGACTCAAATAATTGCTCACTGAAATATGAAATAATGAAATATAAAAAAAAATGTACTTAGCTGATTTCTGAAGAAAAACAAGCCTGTATTTTTGTTTGTATGTTTTTATTTAAAAATGAGTCAAATAACCTATTTTGTACTAATTTTATATCTATGTCTGAAAAGAAAAGAACCAAAAGATACCTGAACCACCCAGAAGTAATGACAAGGCAAATTCAATGAGCCATAAAAAAGAAATATATTCATGGAACCATTTTCAAAGGAAACATTTGTTTGCTTAACTAATGGCCAGTTAGTTGAACATGTTGTGTTACAAAAGTGAAAGAAGTACTGCCTTTCATATGTTTAAACCATTGCTGGATTGCACATTAAGCTTTTTTCATGTGAAGTGCAGTATTGAACGTAATGGCCCGGCCCATTACATGTACAAGTTTTATCAAGAGTGATTTCTTAAAGTAAACAAATCTTAGTGTTTGTCTTTTAGTTATGTGAACAGTCTATAGTGACTTTTATTTCTGTTGCAGAATGAAGCCAAGAAAAGTAAAAGAAGACGATGCACCCAGGACGATAGCCTGTCCACACAAAGTAAGTGCAGTGTTTATTACACCAGTTTACACAGCACTGTGGAAAAGATGAAGGGTAAATGCAAGAACATAAACTTTCTAAGTTGTACTGTATGTATTTATTATTGACATTACCTTACTGAGGACATGCATATATTAATTACACTGATATTAGGAACACTTAAGCATGCTGAGCTGACGTGATTCCGTTGCTAAAGCTACACTGTAAAGTGAATATTTCCCGAGTGGTTAACTTCATCCCATTTCTCTACCTCTAAGGGATGCACCAAGATGTTCAGGGACAACTCAGCGATGAGAAAGCACTTGCATACCCATGGGCCTCGCGTGCATGTCTGTGCAGAGTGTGGCAAAGCCTTTGTTGAGAGTTCAAAACTGAAGAGGCATCAACTCGTACACACAGGAGAGAAACCTTTCCAGGTGAGTTCCCTCGCTATCTGTGAGTTGGTCAGTTTTACTTTGCTTTATTGGAAAGAAATGTAAACTTTGCCCAACTGGCATTGTGTCAGAGCAGTTACATATAAACCTTGCTATTGTCATCTCAAATGCATGTTGTGATATCAGTTTATCTGTGAGCCAGGCTGAGACATTCAGCTGCGTTAACTCAATCTCTCTCGTCTCCAGTGCACATTTGAGGGCTGTGGCAAGAGGTTCTCCCTGGACTTTAACTTGCGCACACATGTGCGTATTCACACTGGAGACCGCCCGTATGTGTGCCCCTTTGATGGCTGCAACAAAAAATTTGCCCAGTCAACTAACCTAAAGTCTCATATCCTCACACATGCCAAAGCCAAAAACAACCAGTGAATCGGCCCGAACCTGGCTAACGTCAACGACGTGAGCGTACACTGGAGGACTTGACCTGCATCTCTGCTCCTTGACAAACTTATGTCCCGTGGCCTGCTTTGTTGTGAGATAAGAAGTCCCCTTTGTATCATCTCTAGGTAAAAAGGTTTAAACAGAGAAATGACTTTTTCTCAAACTTTTTGATATACATATGGAGGTTTGAACAAGGAACTCGTGAGAACCCCGACCCCCTCAGGCATCCTACCCTACTTTGGCGCTACCTGGATGGAACAATTTACGGTTTCTTCTTGTGAAGATGTTAATTCATGGATCTGCACCTAAAAACTTATTTATACCTTAGCACAGCCAGTTAAAAAGTTTTTCAAAAGATGTCAAATTTGCATCGATCCTCAGCAGTGACACCTTTTCAATTTTGTACTTTCCCCCCCCTAAGTGTGCATATTGTACACTGTTTGACATAAGCTCTGTGGTAATGTATGTAGTCAGATTGTCCCTGTAGCTCTTCATGGAAGAGGTTTCACAATTTGTTTTACCTCCCCCTTAGCCCTTCATATGAATGTGTTTGGTGGGGGGATTGGGGGGGTCTTTGCATATTTTCATTTTGTACAAGGCAATATCAGAATCATGTAGATAGTAGACGTGATTTTCAATAGTGATCACTGATTAAAATGTTTTCCCCCCTTGCACTACCAGTACAAAAGGTGTCATTTGTCCTCTTACAGTTAAGTCAACCTAATATAATTTTGTTTATTATAATCATAATTTTATCATTCATTTAAAGACATACAGGGCCAGCTCAAAAACTGAAGTGATGCAGGTTTGAGTCCATAGAGTCAATGGCTATGTTCTTGATATTCATGTCACTGTTACAGAATTTTAATAGGGCAATAAAAAATGTTTAAAAAAAGTAGCTGTTCTCTTGAAGCTCACCAAGCATCACATGTGCAGTTTAATGTTGACAGAATGTGTCCCCGGTATTTGAGGTTGCTTCAGCAGGTTGATTGTTGGTGAAACACACAAACACACAAATTCTGTTTCTTTTATTTTTCAGTGCACTGCATATACATACTTGACAATTGTATCATGTCTTCAAACTTAAATTAAGCAGCTTCAAAGACACCTTCCAGCTGCTCAATTCTGTGAACACACTGTCAACTCATTGTGTCTGATATGAGACCCAAAAGAGAAAACAAACAAGAGGGAGTGTCACAATTTGCAGCGAAAAATCAAAGGTTTCATCGAATATCTGTCACGTTGCCAGCTGCGATCAACTGTAACTCGGTTATACAGTCAAGTAGAAACAGCAATATCAATTCATCAATTTAGGGCAGCAACTAAATTATTTAATTAATCTGACAATTATGTTGATGGTGAAAACAGGTCAATTGCTGGAATCCAAAAACAATTTAGAAGTGGGAACTAGGAAGTGTTTGGCAGTTGATTTAGCGTTACATTTTGTTTCATACAACACATCAGTCTTTAAGCATTTGGTACATTTTCTACAGCTTTCACACTCTTGAACAATCAACTGACATTTCATAACAAAGATCCAGCTTTAATAGAGTCAGACAACGCAGCAAAGGCAGCCTCTCTCACATCTGATTTGAGGATTTACAGGGTTGAAAGAGAAAAAAAACTGAATCACTTTTAACCCTCATTAGTGCATTTCATAGCCGCAGAGCAAACGGCAACAAATCCAGGTCCGTAAATCTTAAAACCACATACTGTATGTTCCTGTATTATTACAAAAGACAGTTTTTGGAATTGCATGCAACACCTAGCTCATCCCTGAAGATTAGTATGGCAAACAGACATCTCAGTCATACTACAAACCAAACCTGTATCAGACAACATACTGAATTGCTTTTGATGTGGTGAAATTGCATCTGGTATTTTTGATTGATATCCAAAATAATAGACACTGGTAAGAATTCAAACAGGCCTATTTTTACATCTAAGAAGTGACTGGTGTGTATATTTAGTATGTTTATGTTCTTTATGCATAGCAACCACTTTACCCACATTGCCTTTTGCTGTGTATCTAGTGGCATGAATCTACCTGTAGTTTTAAAAGAGAGTCAGAGATATCTGGGTCAGTTAAAAGGCTGTGAACAGCAGAAACGGGCAACCCGCAGTGTAGCATTAAAAATAAAAACCACCACACTCCCTGACCTTAAAGTATTTGAGGACACAGTTTAAAAGACTTTAGAGAAATTAAAATACACTGATAAATGACTCAAGCATAGCCATAAGTGGATGGATGGGTTGACGACAGATAAAAACAATTCCTGAAGACTGGACTGAAAACAGCCTTTCAACATCAAACAAACTCTATAAAAGAGGCATAAATCTAAATTGTAGGCATTGTTTTCCCTCCATTTCACCATCCTACCTTTGGTCAAGAGTTTGGATGTGTGTAAAGTACTTGCTCTCCTTGCAGACACTACTGCTTTCACTTAGCCAGCAGTGCAGCCAGCAGTGCGGGGTAGTTTGGCGTCCCCCAGCCTGTAACTGGGTCCCACGATGGTGCAGCACAGAAACCTTTACCCTGAACCTGCTCGTCCAGACAGCCCAGGTGACAGCCTTCAGTCACCTGGAGACAAAAATGGATGGCATTTAGGACCCAGACCACGACAACAAGATGTTTTGCAGAAAGGTTCTTTCTACTGTCTTTTAACATAACGCCTTACTGAATGTACAAACGTAATGCTCCCAACTTAAAGTAGGGTTTGGGATAGCGTGCCTCAAGAAGGAATTCAAGTTCTACAATTTGACTGCTTGGATTATGTAATTTTCACTTGTACACAAACTTTGAGAACACAAAAGTGCTTTACAAATACTCAGTAGCAGTCTAGAACAACATTGAATATTCTCGGCCTTGTATATAAATAGGGGCAAAAAATTAGAAGCACCTCTTAATATAATGTAGTCTATTTTCTTTAACTATGACTGTAATCAGTAATAAACATATTACATACACATACAACAGAACAATACAAATGCATGGTAGAATTTATGAAAAAGGTGCAGAGTGGCCACTAAGTGTAACAACACATCTCAGCAAAGCGAGATCATCATCATGACAATATGAGATTGCTACATAAAATCCAGTCTAAAAACAAACTTCAAGGTGTAACTGATAAAGAACCTGACTTACATCAAATAAGGCCTGTCCTTTGAGTTTGTAGAGGCGAGGGTTGAGGAAGCCCAGGGCAGGCAGGCCCTTTAGCAGCCGCTGATCATTGATGAGAGACAGCATGCCTCCAACCACAGGGGTTGATGCCTAGAAGGTAGATCAATCGATTGTGAGCAATTAATAGTAAAAGGAATCGGTATATTTACACTCTTAGAAAATTTGGTTAAAATGAAATGTGATTTTTCTGCAACCTTTATCATCCTCACTAATACTTTACTTTGTTGCTACAACTTTTAAGAATAGCTTAATAGATGCAACATGGCAGACAAGGCACCAGACCCCTTTTGGCTGCTAGCTGTTGGGTCTAGAGGCCCAGTGTGCTCCAGGAGAGCCATACTGATTGGTCCAAAATCTAGTTTGAAAGGTAAAAGCAACAGGGCCTCTGGAACAACTTGCCTGTGTTTTGATTTTATTATCTATGTCTCTTGTTTAGCTTTTGTACAGCTTGGTTTTATCCTCAGATTTCCCTGCAGCATCTATCTGTTCTGTCACACTGTCAATTCTCTGTTCACCAAAAAGTATATTAAAGTTTGACATATTTTACCGAAGTCCCAGACACCCAGGGGACGGGCACTCTGTTGATGACCACCCAGTAATTATCAGACAGGGCAGCCATGTCTGGATAGGCCCTGCCACTGGTATTGTAATATGACTGAGGAGGGAGGGTTGCTGCGACGGTCTTCATATACGCATCCACTGCACTGGCCTATAGGAACACAAATACACAACATCAATGACACCGTACGCAATAATTGAGCATTAAAAGAGCTGATGACCCCACATTATTACCTGGTAGTCAGGCATCTTGAAGACGTTGCTGAAGCCTCCTCCACTGATGTAATCTGTGACTTCATATGTGACCTTAAATGGGTTCTTGAATGAGGTTCCTCCTACTGTAGTCACATATGGGCTGGGAACAGGAAGCAGGACATGGACTGTTAGGGGCCTTCCTAAACCTTTTGAGACTAGGACACTTGAGATGAGAAAGAAAAAGTAGAAATGTTTTACCTTGAGGCAGGAAAACTTGGCCTGAAGGAGTTTTGTTCTTTACCCAAATGTCTGCAGCCGGCACCGCTGTCACCTGAACATGGAAAAAAAAAAAATTAAATAAAAAATAATCATTAAAAAAAAATAAAAGACTAAAGATGATAGAACAGGTAATTATACAGCATATCTAACTGACAACTGGCAGCCTTTAAGGACTGTTATGGAAGAACAAAAGGTAACGCAAAGACAAGTTTTTCCAGATCGTGGGAGTTGTTTCTTCACAATAGTGGTGTAATCATGTTTCAAGTGAGAAAGTGATCTGACAATAAGAATGGAGCCAAACCACAGTAAGTTGACACATTTTTCCCCAGCGCTCTCAGGCCGTTCCAAAAATTACAGCTACAGTAAATTACAGCTTACAGTTCCCATTTGTTTAAGTATTGTCTTTTGTGTTCAATACCACTGAAAACAGGAACTTGTTATTTACTGACCATACTAGTTGGATTAAAAACAGAACAAGAAACAAGTGAGAGGTCAGTCATTGCATGCAACAGGAGTGACAAATCATATGTTCAAAAGATAAAAAACAGGCTGAATCTGTCCTGTAGACAAACAAAGACTTGCTCACTGACTCATATTTTGCTGACGTAGTATAGATTAGGTGTTTGTGAATGTTCCTGAATGTCATCCTGTGTTAAAAGTACAAGGCATGAGGCACAGTTCCTCTGCACTGACCAGATGCAAAGAGCAAAGAGATTCCCCTGACGCCAGCCTTCATAAACTCTGTGTTGATGCGCATCATGTATGCAGTAGACAGGCTGTCTTCATCGTCTCCATAGCTGATGGTGTGAACCCAGGGCAGGTCAGACATGTTGCTGAGCAAAACCATCCACTGGAGGAAAGGCTCCTGGGACTCGTGACGCCCTGAACAACAATGAGGAAATGGTTTGTGATTTTCCTTTCAGCGCCAGACAGACAGACAGACACACACACACACACACAACACACACACACACAAAGCCTCATTCTCTCATACAGACCTGGATTGGTGAAGACCCATGTGGAGATGTTTGCCCCTGTGCTCATGATGTACTCTATGTCCAGACTGGCCTCCAGACCAGCCTTTCCCGCTCCCTGAGTGCCCACAACCCGGTCCACCTGAGAGTGATGCTGGAAGCTCCTGCCATACATGCTCATGAACTCCGCCAGGTCTGCAGGGCTGTAGTACTGCTCCAAGAACTAAAAGAGAAAACAGCTAGCTAGAGTGAGAAAGTACACCAAGTCATGGTGGATTATAGAGTCGGAGATGATGTACATGTGTCTCGCAGCAACCTTTTTTACTATGTTATTACGTTAGTCTGAGATAGTCACACCTGAGCTACAGCCTGGCTGTTGTTTTGAGCTGTTCCCACGTCAGTTGCTGTCAGGTTATAACGGGCCCTCAATATGGCGGGAGTCACCCCCAGGTGCACCCCTGCCTTAGACTTTTGCTTCCTGTTGGAAGAGTCCTGCAGCCCTCTAGGAGGAAGGCGGTGAAGCCCTCCAACTGTGGATGCACACAAAGAAAATCCATACAGCAATGTTAGTATGGATCTTCACCGTAATATACAGCGATCACGGATGACAGCTGAACATTTTACAGCTACAGAAATGATTCTCACCAAAGTCCAGGTGCTGGTGAACGTCATCGTGAACAGAGTACGGAGCTGAAGACCTCACTAGAGACTGCCCGTCTCTGGTGTAACGGTGGAACTTACTGCCTGGAAGCAGTGTCTCTGCAACCCTTAATACACAAAAACAACCAACAACAACCACAGTTTAAATATCCAACAATCCACAAACAATCTTAAGTATTTAAGAAACACTTTGTCTTGTATGCAAAACTGACAAAACTGTAAAATTTTCTCCAGAAGTTCAGTTCACTTCCTGGTAGTAACTGCTATCAGGAAGTGAAACTGTTATGAGGGTGGGGTTTTTTTTAAGCTCAAATAACCAAAGCCATAACTGTAGCCTAGATTTCTGAATTTCAAAAGCCTGCAGCTGAAAGTTTGATTTTGACCAATAACTACAAAAAGAGGAACCATCTTACAACATATAACCGTATGGTTTACACACAGAGGGAACTTGAGCAGAAAATTTGCTTTTTTGTGTCTTAACTGTGTCACGAGCAAGTAAAAAAAAACCAAACTGTCGAGTAAGCAGAAAAAGTGTTGCTTAAAAAGATATGCTTACTCTGCAGTCATGGTGCACTGTAAAAAGTCCTGAGTGCGAACAGTCAGGCAGTTTGTAATCCCATGGCTCTGCAGCCAGTGACGCACCACCTTCTGGGTCAGTTCAGACGGGCGCACGAGGGAGGACACTTCCTCCAGGGTGAGGTGTTTACCTGCGGAGGACAAAACAGGCCTCTGTCACTCTGTATTTCGGATAGAAAAGAGGTCAAAGTTAAGAGAGCATCAGTTAAGGCTGTTTTTAAACTGTCATGTGAGAGCAGTTAAGTGCATATCCCTGTGATATGTTAAGAAGGACAGAATTAGAACAAAACAAAAAAAACCCACTGAGGATCTTAGCTCAACAAGTGTGTGCAGATTGTTTAGATCCTAGATGTTCAGGGTTATTTAAGGACAACCTGCAATCATCAGACAGACCATATGATGCTGAGTCAGGGTCCGACACCAGACTGAGTGTTTCCTCCAGTAGGTTAACATTTTGCTGCTTCAGGGCAAAGGTCAGCTCCAGCTCCTCTGTGGGGTTGACCCGGCCAACGTGAGTCCAATCCTCTGGTATTCTGGGGAAAGAGGAAAAAAAACTAAACTGTTCATGATCTTTTACTGAAGCCACTGACCAACCTGTTGGATTTTTACTGTTAACTGAACCTTCAGAAAACATTGCTGTAATCTGAGCAATTTTTTTTACCAAACTGTAGTGGGTTTTGCCAAATTCTGTATCCATCTGTGCTGCAGTTCCTGAGATCTTTATATGGTTTTCAAAAAAGAAGAAAAATGGCAGACAGCACATGTCCTAGAAACCAAACTGAAGTGTTCAGCATGGTAATATCCAAATCTGCACTTCCTGATTTTTGGTCTAAATCTTGAGTCACGCTGGAAAATAAAAGTGCTTGCTCATGGTGGTACTGTTGGGTCTCTGTAAATAATGTTACAAAGAGTTCGGTCAAGACCTGCTCTATTTGAAAAGTGTCCTGAGATAACTTCTGTTATGAATTGGCCCTATACAAATAAAATTGAATTGAAATATTAGTCCCTTCATTCAAAACAACTCATATACAAAAAGCTGCAGTGATAATTGTTGAACAGTATTTTTTAGACAAATTACACATGCCTCTAATCCAAGAATATGTTTGGTCTTTACAGCATATTTGGCTGTTAAGACTGCACTCTGTGCATAAAGGGGTTTGAACAAGCACAGATCCAAACATGATTTAATAAATAAATAAACACCGAGATAAGAAAGTGCATTTGCTCACAGGACATCTTGGTTATATTCCAGATATCCACTCCAGACCAAGGAGCTGAACAACAAGGGGATGGAGAAGGTCAGTCTGGTGGAAGGAGAAACAAACCATTAAGGAAGATATAATAATGTACACATGCATATACACAACATGTCCTTGCCTCAGAAACAAAAGGCTTAACTTCACTTAAGAGCAAATTAAACGCGTTTCGTTACAAGCAGACACACATGTATCACTGTAGCTCCACACTTACAACAAACAGACACACTGTTATTTACAGTCGCTTTAACGCTGTGAACACTTTAACCTGCGGTGTTAGCTGGCAGCTATCTAGGTCATCACAAACACAACACACAAGCTGCGATACATCCCCCGGTGAGCTAAAAGAAGAGTGAGCGCTACACGGCTGCTCTATTTCCTGCGTATCTCTATTAAAAACACACAATTATGAACTTATTTGGAGAACTCACAGTGTGTTCATCGTGTCCTCGGCTGGTCTGAGCTCAGCTGTTGTGTCCGGTGGGCAGGCGCTTATAGAGGCGGCGGTCACGTGACATGGGTTCACGTGATTTTGTTGTTCAAATTCAGTGTCAGTGCTCGTGCGTTAGGTTAGTTTTTACTTAAACGATGTTAACGTTACATTATAGTGCACAGTAATGTCAGCAGCAGCCGTCCTCTCTCCAGTCTCGGCTTTATAGGGCGGAGGTGGGTCAGATCTATGACTCACACTGGGTCAAATGCCTTTCCACCACGGTTTGATGTCAAATTGAACACATTCATTTAGATTCATTTTAAATGTACTAAATAGAAATAGAAACATAGAAATTAACACAAATAATTAAATGATATGTCATGACCACATTTAATACTAAGTGAATGAAAGAAGGCTTGGAAATAAACAATGTATTGATTTTTAATGCCAAATTTAGATATTTCTATTTAATGCTTTCATAATGTGCCACAATAATTAGATTATATTTTTATATTATTATTATTGTCACTGCACAAAGTACAAGTACTAAGACAACGAAAAGCATCTAACCAGAAGTGCAAAAATCAGTAAAGTGCAAAGTAATGTGCATGTATGTACAGGGATAATGTAATGTTCCCTTTGGCTGCGACACTTTTAAATTCATCCTTAGCACATCATCATTCAAAATAGTTTTTTATTTTATTTATATGATTTATTAATTTATTGTAAAGTAAATCATTTTTGCATATATGTTTGTTTGTTTGTTTTAGGAGTAGCATAAAGGGAACTGCAATCATTTTACTACACAACCCTGCGTTGTAAATGATAATTAAATAACCTTGAATTTGGAGGCTTTCCCAATCAAATATTGATATTGTTTGCAATAAAATAAGCATATATTTCTGCCACCTCTTAAAGTCTCAGGCTTGGGAGTAATGGATTACAAGTAACTGAGTTATGTAATCAGGATAGAAAAAAGGTAACTGTAATCCATACAAATTGGGATTATTTAGTAGGATAACAATTCTAAGAAATGTGGTGTGCCATTTCTGAAGCTAAAAAGCTTTCCATTTTTCCATTTTCTTTTCTAAAGTTACATTGTTCTGTTGTTTTACAGAATACACTTCCATCAATACATCTTATTGACATTTCTTTTCTCGTGTGCATACATATTTGGTGTTGAGGTAATCCAAAAGTAATGCTTTTATAATTCTAGTCTCAAATTTCTTTTACTTTTCAAACCTTGTGTGAACACTAAGCAGCCATGGGTTCCTCTAAGCAGGTGTGGAAGACTCTGAAAATTAAAATTACTAATGCCCCCAAAGCAGGAGAAGGCTATAAGAAGATAGCAAAGTATTATCAGCTTGCAGTTTCCACAGTTCGAAATGTAATTAAGAGATAGCAGATTAGGGGAACTGTGGAGGTCAAGATGAGATCTGGAAAACCGTCTCGAAGAGAATTGCCTGCCTGCTGGTCAGAAAGGCAATTTAAAAAAAAAAACACATATGAATACAAAACACTGCTGGAAGATATGTAGTAAGTGCTGACATTGTAGGTTGCCCAAACCTTTTAACGTTATTTTTGTTCAATTTATGAAATAAAACAAAACAATGCATGAATGTTTGCTGCAAATATCGTGTTTTATGTTCCATACCCTACAGTCTTTGTTTACATCTTTTCAATGAAAGAAATCACCAAAATGTGTGATTTGTCAAGGGATGCCAAACTTTACATACAGCTGTAGGTTAGAAGTAGATATTGCTTCATTTTGAGTTTTTACAAGACAAACAAACCCCCTCCATAGATAACTATTCTTTCTAAATATATAATATACACAAATAAACCATAACTAAGAATTAAAAATGTTTATTAAAAGAATAATTACAACTGACTCTTAGAACTTGGACTTCAAACAAAAACTGTATTTACAGAAACATACTGGAAGACAGCAGCACATGTCTGTTTTGCATTTTAGAACTGAACACTTTCCAACCATTAAGATTAACTTGAGAAAAGGCCACATTGTCAAAATGTGTTTAACTTTTATACATTGCACTACAGGTTAAAAAGCTTCAAATTAAGTACTCTGGCCAATTATCAATCATACTCTGTTTCACACTGATGAGATCAAATCCTGCATTTAAAAAAGTATCACATGTGAAAGACAGGAAAGCAAAACACTTGAAATGTTTTATTATTCACATCTGATGAGTTAAACAAGGAAGGACTCACGTCTCCTCTGTTCCCTTGATTTTAATTCATGTGAATCATATAGATTTTTTCTTTAAAATGAGGTGACATTTCTGATCCAATTAGTCATTGTCTGAGAAGTAAAAATCTTCTTCCTCTCCGCTTTCAGACAGAACTCCATCTTTTCCCGGGAACATCTCCCAAACAACAAAGGTGTCATTTTCTAGTGAAGCAGGAAAGAAACAGATTGTGTTAAGCAATAAAGTGTTACAAAAGAAATGTTGCAATAACTGCTTTCCACTGTCAATGACAACTCCTTTCTGAAAATCTTAATGAGAATCCTCTAACCACAGCAACATGCAGTGGTGGACAAAAAACAGAACTTCAATACAATGCAAGCATTTTAAACTTTTTATTGGTATTGTTTAGTATTATCCCTCCTCTCCACAACATAACGTACCTGTGTTCCCACATCTTCTCATTGTTCGTTTAACTGATGGCGTGGGTGAGAAGCTCTGAAAGGAACCAAAAAGGAAATAGTTTCTCCAGTAAAAAACAACAACAATCAATGTGCTTTGAGATCAAAACAACCTTAATGAGTAAGTACCTTTGAAGGAGGAGCCTGTTTGCAGACATTAAACTGACGTTTCTTCATCCTCTTCTGCAGCTGAAAGACGTACTTGTCGTCATTGCTCCTTTGAAATCAAGCAAGAGGTAAGTTAGTTATTTCTAAGTTAGATCAGCTCTTACAAACTACAAAAATAGAAGTCAGTGCCATTCACCTGTTGGGAGAGCCCATCATGCCGGGAGTGATATGCAGACACTGAGGAGTCTTGACTTCGGGGAAACCTGTGGACATGGGGGTCAGAGGCTCCAGCTCTGTCAATGTGAAGTCGTGGTCTTCACTCGGACACATGGAGGGCATCTACGCATTAAGACAAACAACCGGGGCAGTGAGGGGGGTCTTGTAATCACTAAGGGATTTTGTGCTAAATACAAATGCAGAAAGAAACCAACCTCAAACCGTTTATTCTGCATGTACGCAGAGCTGAAAACGTCATCAACGTCTTCTCGGGGCATGGTCTCGAGGAACTGACGCACCTGCTGCTTCCTCTTCAAAGTTCCCACTCGGGCCGATATCACAGGATGATCTGTGAGTAGTCAAATATTGTAGCTTGTCAAATCTCTGCAGTTAACCAAAGTTCTCTCTTGTAAAAAGATTTAGATAATTTCAGTTATTAAAAAAAAGATTACATTACTCAGACAACAACTACAAAACTTCTTACTTTATCCAATAATTTATAATCAGTTAACCGTTAAAGCCATTTTCCAAGTAAAATGGCAAACATTAGATGGTTCCAGCTTCGAAATCAATAGGTTTATGCACTATGTGAGTGTATACATCACCTTAGGCTTTAGTAAATTATGATTTTAAAAAAGGAGAATACATCCACATATGAAATAAATGTTGTGGATGTTTGTGGATCCAGAGGGATATAGGGGAAGTCTGATAAATATCCTCAAGTGAAAATAAATCTCTGGTCTTCTGCATCAATTTTGATGCTTTTTTTTTTTTTTTTTTAACTGTCCATTGTGAGTCAGTGTGGCTGTTGGAGGAGTTGTGCAATGCTAAAATGAGTGGAGTTCTCTTTTAACCAATTTACTTTAATCTACAGCCTGAAACTTTTCTCTACCTGGGCCTTTCAGTGCTTCCATCTTTTTCTTTTTGGGTTTCTTGGCGTTCTTGGCGGGAGTCTGGGAGGTTCCCTGGGATGTGTGCTGGTTGTGGCACTCTTCAGCAGAACGTGTTCCAACCACCCTTGCCACCTTTGCCCAGTAACCTGCCACGTGCTTAGGATAGAAGGACACCGCTCTGGAAACCACAAACACGCACACACACGGTTATGATACAGAAATGTTATTTCAGTTCTGCTGATTGCTACTTCCTCATTCTGTCGGTAGACAAAACTTACTCTTGTAGCTTCATAAGCTCTGCCTCTGTCCACTTGTCTTCTTCTTGGTTTTGTGGAATCATTGTGTGGCCTTTATCTGCCTTCTGTTTCTTGCTGGATTGTGTTGACTTAGGCAAAGGTTTTGTGGGTTGTGATGTCTTTGTGCATTTGCTCTGTTGATGTTTTGTCTGTGTCTGTGCAGCATCTCTATTTTTTGTCACTCTGGTTCTCTTCCTGCTGTCCTTGGACTCCCTTGGTGGAGACACATGGCTTGGCTGTGACTTCCCTCCTCTCTTCCTGTTCACTCCTTCCCCCCGCGTCTTTCTCCTGATGGCCAAGTCATCATCTGTTGACTGATCCTGTGATGTTTTATCATCACTAGTGGGAGAGTCTGGGGATGCAGTGACAGACCGTTTCCTCTGTGAAACTCTCACTGAAGATCTTCTGCTATCATGTGTTTGTTTTTTTGACTTTTGCGTTGAAGACTTTTTGGGTTCGCCCTGCTTTTGAGGGACAGTGTCCACATACAACTTTCTCTCTGCAGCTGGATACCTTTGGCTGGACCTTGTTGTTCTGCCAGACCACTCTTCAGGGCTGCTAAGGGTCTCCACAGGAGGTGAAAACGAGGGCTTCTCGCTAGGGTTAGCCTTTGCTCTGTTGCGTTTGCGGAGTGGAGCCTTGACCTTCCTCAGCGGTACTGACGCAGATTCAGTTTTGGCTGATTCACATTGCTTACGGCCTGGAAACACAGGACAGTTTGTCTGTATGAAACTTACAAATTATCTCACAATACTTAAACGACAGCTCCTAAGTTTTATTTACCTTCGCTGCAGGGCAGGAACACACGGGCAGGTTTCTGTGACGCCCTCGCAGATACTAGTGGAGTGACCTCCTGCGAAATATAAACATAGTCAAACTGATGTGCTTGTACATAGTCAAACAACTGGTCCTCATGGGTAAAAAAAAAAAAATCTGGATTATTATGCAACTCATGTGAGCTGAATTTACCGGATTGCAGATGGAGGTATCGTAACATTCGTGGATGGTCACATTCATGTGTGCATCCAGTATGACTCTCCCTCCTTTCCAGTACTCCAGAGGTGGCTTGATGACGCGACCACTTCGAGACACTTTTGTTGAAGACGAGGAGGCAGGACAGGGATCAGCTGGTGAAGAAGGGATAAATAAATGTAAATGGTAACAAAAAAGTCCTTCAGTACAGCTGTAATGTATTCAGATATGCAAGTTAATACACTTCCAGAGGTTTAAAGTATAAAAACCACGTATGCTGCTAACATGCTAAACTACAAAGGTGCCCATGCTAAACGTCATACCTGCTTAGCATCAGCAAGTTAGCAGCGTCATTCTGAGCATGTTAGCATGCTGACATTAATATTCAGCTCAAAACACCACAGTGCCTATGTGTCGCCTCACAGAGCTGTTAGCATGGCCGTATACTCTGTTTTGTTACATTCAGTATGAAGCTCTGTGTGACACACGTGTAAATATATAAATAAATGATTCTATCGGTCTAATTTTCAACTAGACATAAACAGAAAGTATCAAATAACGAGAACTGGGAGAAAAGCAGTGGTTTCCACAGATGTCTCAACCCGATGAACAATGCTGGTAGAAGTCTGTTATCCAGTGCATCTTGTGCATATGAGGTCCTGTTGTAATAATGTTGGGCTGAAGCTGTTTCTTTTGTACTTACGTGTCTTCAAAGGCTTTTGCCTATGTCGCTTCACAGAAAGTTTGATGGATGCCTCAGGGTTCGTCTTTGCCATGATACTTCTTCTCCCTTCACTGTTCCTCTCTGTTTCTCTGCTGGAGCCACTACGACAGAGAGCAAAATCCAACTCTTATTAGTAAATATGTTTTTTTTTTTCCTTCATGCTCAACTTACTCAACATCCAGCAAAAACAAAAGAATATTGTATCTGTAAGAGCATGGACCTTATTGCAGGGAAATAAATATCCTTACTCTCTTGACTCTGACAGAAACTTCTCATAAAGTGCGTTCCAGTTCGGAGGAAAACCATTAACAAACTTCTTCAAAAGCCACCCTGGCAACCCTGCAGGTGAGAGATAGAAGAAAAAGAATATCAATCCATGCAACACGTTAATTTCAAAGCTTTTTAATGCACTTTTAACTTCTTAGTGAAACATATTCTCAGTGGAAAATATCTCCCCATACAGAATCTGACATACCAGAGTCAACATCCAAGTTCATCTTTCCAACCAGTATGTAAACCCTGCCAGAGACGGTCTTCAGCACATAATTAGAAACCCTGTCTGCAATGATGTTACTGTTCCATGGTATGTTTTCCTCCCTGGGTGGAAAAGACAAGAAAACAAATCCCAGTGTTCACATTAAACCACACATTCAAAGCTTCATGTCTGTCTCATAGGAAGTAGCTGGGTAAGCAATCTGAAAATTATTATAATTATAATAAACTCTGCTTGCAAAGTGTTAAATCAAGATGTCACCAGAAACACTTACTGGTGGATTCCATCAACAAACAGGCCCGTGTGATTCCTCCTCAGGAACCACTTCTTGAGATAAATCACACTCTCCTGTCAAAGAGGAAAACACGAGCCCAATAAGGAACAAAATACAAAACTAGAGTTGATTTCCATTTGAGCTCAAATCCAAACCTTTTGATCCCCAACAATCTGGTCTTACATGTCAATCTTTTATGCTCCCTAATTGTTACTATCACCATTTTTATCAGACTGTAATTTAAGAGGTATTTATTTGAAAATTCTATTTCAACTCACACTTGGGAATGTGTTGCGCCTGAATACACCCTCGTGTTTCTTCGGTATGGAGATCCGTGGCGTATTGAGTACGAGAGAGTCTTCGAGCAAAACACGTTGTGACGGCCCGGCAGGGGTCAGGACGTCCTCGTAGGGATCTGTGTCTGATTGGCTGTCAGCTGACTCTACTCTGGACGGGCTGACAGGAACCACACTTTCTTGAACAGCTGTAAAGGCAGTGTCCTCCATCTCACCCATACTGTGAGCTGTGGAGGGAGGCGTGTCTCTGGGCGGATGGAAGTTACCTGTGAGAAATATTGTAAGTAATAACATGAACTATGTTGTGCAACGTGCAAACATGACATAGCAAAAGGATCCTGATGGATTCTCACCCCTGTCAAAGAGATCCCTTGTGTTGATGCTGACGTTATGAACTCCCTGCTGCTCTGTTTTACTTTCCCTCTCCTTCATGTAAGCAAACATCTTGGCTGGAGACATTGGAGGAATTTCTTCTGCAATAACACAGCAACCTGTTCAAAACAGCAAAGAGGGCATCAGTCAGTTCCTTCCCCTAAATGATGACACAAGGAAGAAGAGTTTCACTTAGAACAAAGCAGCAATGAAATCTCACGTTTCTTTCCGATGGATTTTGGTGGTGGGAACGTGGGTTCACGACTGAACTGGTTCATATCCGATCGGTCAGCAGAGAATCCTCTTCCATGATCCACATCCCCCATGTAAGTGTTGTTGTGGGCGTCATCCTCTCTGCAGGCGCTGGAGGTTTTCCTTTCTTGTGTCTGATCACTGACCTCCCTCGTACTGCTGCTAACGTTGTTAAACCCCCTGGGCTCCCATTTTCTCTTCCTCAACCTCTTCCTCGTGGGGGAAAACCTAGAGGCTGAAGACATCAGGGGAGCACCTTCCTCCTCAAACACATGCCTCACACTGTCATTCTCTACTGGCTGTATCTTTACTGGAGTCCTGCTGGTCACCTTGAAACCATCCAGGTCTCTGATGTGAGGTGGTTCTGTGTGGATCTGCTTCCTGGTCTGAGACAGGGGATAAGACACAGCCGTGGACTCCAGGAAGGCTCCCTTTCTTGGTGTGCATCCCCGTCCTGTTACAGTCACAGGGGGTATTTCCTCCGCAGGCCTGCAGCTAATGTCTGAATACGAGTACCCGAAGGTTTTCTGAGGACTCGATATGGGCGAGAGGGTCAAGGCCTGCGCTTCATTGCGATAAGAACCAAACCTCTGGTTCTCCTTGTGCTCATCGGTCATCCAGGTGCTCTCGGTTCTCTTCCTGGGAGACTTAAAATCCGCTCCATGTTTCTCTCTAATGTTACACAGCGAGTCCGAGCCTGTAACGTCCCCCTCCGTCGCGCACATACCTTCTCTCTGCACTTTGGATTTTAGCTTAGCAAACACCTTCGCGGGGGATTCAAACCGCGGTGTTTTGTGTTGTAATAGATGGTGATACGACGCCATGGTTTTTGGAGAAAAATAAATGTTATTATTGTAACTCCGAGGCGTATGCTAGCAGCCCGCTAGCCCGCGAGCATTCAAATTTCTCATCGCTGCCGCCTTTGGCTGGAGGCCTGTGACGTACGTGCAAAACAAATACGTCACTTCCGCAGATGCTTTAAATAATTTAAATTCAAGATACATTTGCGATATTGTGTCTATTTTATTATGTAAAAAACATTTGATAATGAACTTAATTGAAAAAAAAAAGATCTGGAGCTTGCCTCATAAATATCTATTAACTAATAAAGTTTAAATAATCTCTATTACAGCTTTTACATAAATGTTACCCCACTAACTTTTATGTGAAGAGGTTTAAAAGACACGTTAATAATAATTGTACCAAATTTTATTTGGGAATGTCCGTCATGTACATTATCTCTGATTAGTGCTTTTTTTATTAATGATCATCCTTCCAGAATTTGTTTGGGGTTTTTAAAATATATATTGACTGATATTTAGTTTCCATGTCTGTGGCATGAATGACTCTGTCACATAAAGCCTGAAATGTGACAAATACTCTGAGTGAACTAACCAAGTAAAGTGTTACCTATTATTAACTTGATAATAATTGTGGCTAAATTCCATATGCAAATTTACATATATATTTTTTTTAAAGAAACAACAATTTGCAAACAACTCGTAGCTCAAACAACATAAATATGGACTTTTTTTTTTTTTAAACTATCTGTAAATAATATATACCAATTTTTACTTTGTTCAAATTGCTATATATTATTTACATTTAGTTTCCTATGGAGGGCACCTTGAGACAAGTAGCGCGTAAATTACTAAAAAAACATTAGAAGAAGAAGAAACGTACTGCGCATGCTCGCAAGTCAAACTTCCGGCGTGAGACTTGCTTTTGTGGCTGTCGTTTGTTCTGTTTCGTGTAGATAATAGTAAAATTTAAAGCAAGTATTTATCCTGTATTGTTTTTATTAACGTGAACAGTGTGGATATTACAATTAATACAAAACGGACCGTCCTAAGTGTTAATATATCTGGTTGTAAAGTGTTGTCAAGCGGTCTAAAAACTCCTGCACTTGAGTGACAGAAGTGATGCAACATGGCAGCAACTCCTCTCAGTAGGTCTTTCCTCTCAGCACTGAGGAGACATACTCGGTGTCAAAGCCGTGGACTTAACTCTTTGGCAGAGAGGACAGTCAGCCGGGTGTCCTCGGTGGTGATATGTAGTCACAGCGGAGCGGCGGAAGGACACACAAGCCTGGACCGGGGACAACCGGTGGAGTGGGACAGAAGAAGTAGTCGGGACAACAGCAGCAGGTCTCCCCTCCTCAAGTCAGTGTCTGTGGGTCTGGGACTCTGCGGTGCGGCGCTCCTGCACAGTCAGAAAGAAGATAAAGACAGAAGAGTCTCGATATCCGGGCGGTGTCTTGCACTCATTCTGCCGTCGGCTCAGTGTGCTTCCCCCTTTAAACCCGACAGCCCCCGGTATAAATACAACTTTATTGCAGATGTGGTAGAAAAGTCCACTCCAGCTGTCGTGTACATTGAAATCTTGGGCAGGTGAGTTGAAAAAGTTGAAAAGGCGCCATATGGAATAGTTTAAATGTTTATCTTTATTGTGCTGCATATTACATACCTTATTTCCATTGCTGCTACCCCCACAGTATGGAGTTATACATTGTGATAGATGATTTAAAAAGTGTGACTCTATAATATTAAGGTATTAGATACAGAAACTATTACAAGTTTTGAAAACTGTGACACCACATGTGAAGCATACAGCTGTGTCTGACCTTATCTAAAGACTGTGGGGACACATTTGGTCAAAATAAATAACTATAAACATTTGCAACATAGCTGAAATTCCTTCAGGACACATCATTTAGTGTAATATCTTTCATGTTCATTTCTTTCATTTGCCAATATCAGCAATTGAAAAAATCCAAAGCACTGTTATTATTTTTGAAGCAATGATCAGGAGGTGTTTAGTATTTTTTGTACCTTTTTTAGAATAACATGTTATTAAAAACCCTGGTTATTTTCTGAACATAATCAATTAGTCACTAGATAGTCTTATATTTCATTATGACTCATAACCACCTCAGGTCCACTTCAGCCACTGAATATTTCTATCTCATGCATGTCTTGTGGATCGTTTTGCAGATACAGACTTGAATAGGAATTTACACGTTTGGTATAAAGACGTACAGTGGCTTCAGGAAGTGTTTGGACCACTTCATTTTTTTAACATTTTCTTGTGTTATAGACTTAATTTTAAATGGATAAACTGCATTTTCCCCGATTATTTAGCACTCAATAACACATAATGAGTTCAAATGAAGTGAAAACATCCATCCATCCAAGATGACTTGAAGCTGTAATTACTACCAAAGGGGCTTCTACAAACTACTCAATTAAGGGTTTGAACACTTATGTAAATAAGAGATTTCAGTTTTTGTTTTTTATTAATTTGCAAAACACATTTTCACTTGTCTACACTGTCAGTGTAGATTGATGGGCAGAGACAGTAAAGTACAAAAAGTAACATAGCTCAAATTCCTTCAGGACACATCATTTAGTGTAATATCTTTCATGTTAATTTCTTTAATTTGTCAATATCAGCAATGGAAAAAACCCAAAGCACTGTTATTATGTTTGAAGCAATGATCAGGAGGTGTTTGGTATTTTTCTTTTTTTTTTTTACCTTTTTTTAGAATAACATGTTATTAAAAACCCTGGTTATTTTCTGAACATAATCAATTCATAATCACTAGATAGTCTTATATTTCATTATGACTCATAACCACCTCAGTTTCACTTCACAGTGAGGCGGTCAGTTTGTGAAAATGAGATAAACTATTTTTTGATTTGAATATAAGAAGTGTACTCTGCCTGATCTTGTTGAAACTGTATGTTTGGCCCTTCCTAAAATGATGTTGTAATTCTCCTGCTTTTACTGTTTTACAGACACCCATTTTCAGGAAGAGAAGTCCCAGTGTCAAATGGCTCTGGCTTCATTATCAGCAGTGATGGTCTCATCGTCACCAATGCTCATGTTGTGGCCAACAAGAGAGGCGTCCGTGTGAAGCTCATCAACGGAGACATGTACAACGCCACTGTGCAAGATGTTGATCCAGTGGCAGACATCGCTACCATCAAAATCACTGCGAAGGTGAGCAAAAATCTACAAAAATCTCTGCTAAAGGAACTTTATTTTACTGGATCCACATTTGCTTCAAACACAGTGAGTGAGGCACAGAGACTAACAGCAGTTCATCACTGTAACAGACAGACAAAAGGATATACATTGAAGAGAAGGAACACAACATGTCAACACTTCACAGACATGAAATCAGAGGAATGAAGCCAGATGATTTATACTAACTTAAAAATTCAGCTTTTTTATGGTATCTTAATGAGACTGTCAAACTTCATTCTTGTGACTGTTCAATATGGATTTAGTATGGATTAAAGTATTGTACGGTAGTGTATCTATGTGTTTTGCTTTTTGTCTCCATAAGAAGGTGCTTATCTGTTACAGGACAAGAAGTGCCCTTAAATACGATATATTATATAAAGCCATCCTCACATACATCAGACCACAGAACTTCTTTATCCAACCTCTTTATAAAAGAGCTTACATGATCGGGTCATTGCGGCAAGAAAATTCGGACCCAGATACAACGGGAAGCTTCATTCTTTAGATAATATGAATGATCTACGAGCAGCGAGGATGTACTGTTGAACTTTCTCTCTGCTCCTCTCCCCTGACACGCAGAATCCTTTGCCCACGCTCACCCTTGGTCGGTCGTCCGATGTTCGACAAGGAGAGTTTGTGGTTGCCATGGGAAGCCCGTTTTCTTTACGGAACACAATCACATCAGGAATCGTCAGCTCAGTGCAGCGAGGCAGTAAGGAGCTGGGCCTGTCCAACTCCAACATGGAGTACATCCAGACTGACGCAGCCATTGATGTGAGTGTTCTGCAGTAATCCGATTTAAGGGTATATATATTGGTATATGGACACTATAAATATATATATAAACACGCTTGTTTTTATGAGGGTGTCTGACCCTTTTCAGTTTACAGATGGCCTGGTTTTAAGGACTAATAGTATTCTAAATGCCTGTAGACTGTGACTCAGAAATGTCTTACCAGATGCTCTTGACGTCACATGTGACTGATTTGTTTTACAGTTTGGAAATTCTGGAGGTCCCCTGATTAACTTGGTGAGTCACCGGTCCTTGTTTAATGTTTATCATCAAATTCTAATGTGGCCAAACCTGCTCTGCCTCAGTGGACAGCAGATCTTCAGGTTGTTTAACATACTGTAATTACAGTTGCTAATGTTACATGAAAGAATGTTTATTGTACAAATTGTTGCATCAGGCAACGTTTTGTCTGTTATTACAGAATATGTAAACTGAAAATCATCACTATCAATATTCAGTCTATTTAGTCAGATGCTACTGGACTTTGGCACCTAAATAGCATAATGATGCACCCTGAACATGAACACCCTGTCTGAATGTGTTATCTCTCCTCTAATCAGGATGGTGAAGTCATTGGTATAAACACCATGAAGGTCACTGCAGGAATCTCCTTTGCCATTCCATCTGATCGCCTGAGACTTTTTCTTGATCAAGCAGCAAAGAAAAAGCGTAAGTAAACAGGCTGAGTGTCAAAAGCTACACACCACTCCCTCTTTTCTGTCGTCCATAATCTCTTTAGCATTTAATAGTTCTCTTTTTGTTAAAAATTTTATTAAATTATTTTCACAAATTTTTGTTTTGTTTTTTTTCCCAAGAATCTTGGTTTGGTGGGGCAGAGATGAAACGGCGGTACATTGGTGTCACGATGCTGACGCTTACGCCAAGGTAAACGCTTCACAATCAGAAACTGCAGTAAACCGGAGTCGAGTGTAGTTACAGCAGAGCTCCCGCCACTGCATCCAAAACCAGACGTCTTTCTTTTTTGTCCCCTTTTTTCAGCATCATTGCGGAGTTGAAGTTGAGAGACCCATCCTTCCCAGACGTGACACACGGCATCCTGATTCACAGGGTGATCATGGGCTCCCCGGCCAATAGGTAAGCAGACCGGGGGTGTGGATGAATGGTGAATGACTCTCCTTGTTGTTGACGTTCCACAGTGTTGGAAGTGGTGTGTTTCCCTTCAGCCACTGAATATTTCTATCTCATGCATGTCTTGTGGATTGTTTTGCAGATACAGACTTGAATAGGAATTTACACGTTTGGTATAAAGACGTACAGTGGCTTCAGGAAGTGTTTGGACCACTTCATTTTTTGAACATTTTCTTGTGTTATAGACTTAATTTTAAATGGATAAACTGCATTTTCCCTGATTATTTAGCACTCAATAACACATAATGAGTTCAAATGAAGTGAAAACATCCATCCATCCAAGATGACTTGAAGCTGTAATTACTACCAAAGGGGCTTCTACAAACTACTCAATTAAGGGTTTGAACACTTATGTAAATAAGAGATTTCAGTTTTTGTTTTTTATTAATTTGCAAAACATGTTTTCACTTGTCACACTGTCAGTGTAGATTAATGGGCAGAGACAATAAAGTACAAAAAGTGAAGAGGTTTGATTTAGATAAATATAGACATTCAATATTATATAATATGCAGATGTATTATAAATCAAATAAGTCAAGCAGAACAGTGCAGACATTGTTGGTAAAGTAGGTAAGTAATTTAGCTTCAACAACATGTTGCCGCTAACACCCAGTACTTGTACTTGTTTCAGAGCTGGCGTGCTACCAGGAGACATCGTGGTGGAGCTAAACGGAGTGAAGGTGCACACCTCTGAAGAGATCTACCAGGTCATCCACACCAGCGACAAAATCACCATGGTGGTGCAGAGAGGACACGAGTTGCTTCGACTGCAAATAACCCCAGAGTACACAGAGTGACACTAACTTCATTTCTTAACTTCATGTTGATGGACAGCTGGCCACATGATTTGTTCATGTACACAAGAAGAAAACTGTGAAACATGATCGTGACTATGGTCAGATGACAATGTGTAATCTAATAAACGTGTAATCAAACAGGGTTTTTAATGTACATATGTGCAATAGTTGATGACTTTTGTTAAATATTTTGTTGACACCACAAAGTAAATTACAGTGACAAGCCTGTAGTGTCAACTTAAACCAAAAGTATGTGTGTTTTTTTTGCCATATTTATCAATCAAGTCTTTCTCTACATGGCCGATGGCTGTTAACTACATAATGGTTTCAATGTAATTTCTCAAATTCAAACTGTCATCATGAACCTTCATGAACCTGCCAGCACCAGAAGACTTAAATAGATAAATGGGCCAGTTCCACAGAGATATTTTAGACTGGGCTGTAGTGTTAATTTTGGTCTGAGATTAGTCTAATGCAGTTTAGGCAGTTTCAAGCAAAAAAAGCCACCCATCCCCCAGGCTGACTCATTCAATCCAACAATGCCAAAAAGCGGGAAACATACCTCAGTTTGTTTTTGTCATCAACATTGTGGTGAACATAATGAGGGCAAAGAGGTTTTAGAGAGCACAGAAACATGTTGGAAATACCCAGCAGTGAGGACATCGTCGGTGCGTTTCATTTGACCGATCCTGACTGAGTTAGAAGATTTACTGAACTCTGCCACATTAAGAAGCCACAGTGGATCAGCTCTGCTACAGATCTGTATTACATTGACATTTTATGCGAATATAAGTTCTTTGTATTGTCAGTATTAAATGTGGAGTGCACAGTGCTGAGTATAGTGCTGTGGCTGCTTGGTCAGTCATTTTTGTTTTGTTTGAAAAAGTTGTCTAAATTCACAGCAATTAATTTTTTTCCCCCTCTCGTCTTGGTATGAACCATTAACAGTATATATATATATATATATATATATATATAGTATGAACACTTAAGTGTCTTCTGAGAAATGTACTGATATGAACAGAGGGTCAATTAACTCAGTTGGCCAAGTCAAGGTAAAGTAATTAATTAGGCCACCATTTAACACAAGAATGAACAACAAATGGCAGAATAGGGAATAGTCTATACTTTTTTTTTTTAATTCATAAACACACATCGGTAATGTAGGTAGATGCTTGACACAATGGAACCCATTTCTCCTCATAGGCACCAGGTGGCCTTGGGCACCAAGCTGGAGAACTCTGGGTTAGATCTCAGCCATAGTCAATGTCTTTGGAAAGAGAAACTGGCCCCAGTATTTATTCCCAGATTTCTCAGTACAAAATGTGCTGTGAAAGTTAATGAAACCTTAAACAATGTACTTCATTAAAGCCATTTAATGTTAGACAGCAACAAGAAGCATGAGAGACCCAACAATATGGCAGGGATCAATGGTATTGAACTGACTACCATTAACTAAGCAAACAAGTTTGACAACTCACGAATGCTACTATGATCACACAAGTATATGAATTGTCGAGATCCTACTTACTTTAAAACAGACTCATTTTGAGTATGTCACGCACATTAAAAACCAAAAACATGAATCCACTTCATGTTAAGAGAAAAATGCCAATTCTCCATGATGAGAAGCAAACAAAAATAGTGAAGACTCATATTTCATTTTGAGAGTCAAAACTGTGAAGCCATACTGAGTAAATTCAAATTTCCCTGGTATATGTACAGTAACACACACTTACAGTAAAGTAATAAAGTGACATGTACTGGACTGCTACACAATTAAATGCATTTACCTCAAAGACTGATAACTATTAAATGGAGATAACATTCAAACCACCTAAGGTTTAAACAATATGTTCATACTTCTCGACTAAAGACATCTTGTTAGGTACGAGTACTACAACATACAAGTATGGGAGGAAAAATAAAATTGTTCAAATCCCATTAAAACGACTTTAAAAAGGCTTAATATATATTGCTGGTAATATTTTTCTTTTTAAGAAAATATAAATTGTGCGACTGAAGCTTACAATACACTGCTGGCAGTAGCGCCAGGTTCTGTGGTGACCTGCTGGAAAAGGGTCATCTGTCGAGGCGCTGTGTGCTGAGAGACTCCCCGAAGAGAGAGGAAACAAAACGAAAAAAAACAACAATTGGACATCTCATGATGTCTGAATCCCTTGCACCAAAACCCAAATGCTGCCATGGTGTTTGTCACGGTGGAATGCTGCAGATATCACATGATGTGCCCACACAGCAGCAAAACTATAGTCAAACTCAAACAGATACATAAATAAGGGGTAGTAGGGTGGGGGGGTCTTTGAGAGGGAGTGACAATATGAGGGAGAAATTGTAGTGTCCAGTCTAGTTCAGCAGTGAGCAGGCTAAGCAATGACTCAGTTGACGTGGTCCAGAGCGCGCAGCAGCTCCTCCCCCTGCAGCAGGTACTGACGACCCTGTAAGGGGGCGTTGACCTCGCAGTCGTCACGGGTGAGCTGTGGCAGGGTGAAGAGGGAACTCGTGCCCTCTGACGAGCTGCCCAGCAGACGACTCGCCAAATCTGAGAAAGGACAAAAAAACGAGAGTTAAGGTTCTGTTGATGTTTCGTATTACTTCGTTTGTATTTACTACAGATCTAGTTTGTTCACCTGACGGCAGCAGAAGTATGGTTGTGGTTGTTCCTGACTCTGATGCCTTCAGCTTTTTGCCCTGCTCCAGTTGTTCCGGGCGCAGAGATCCCTGGGAAAACCAGCAAATACAGACACTCAAACTTTCCATTTGTAAATATAAAGTGAGATCTATAAACCATGTTATGATGTCAAGGACTTACCAATCCAATCATCTCTTTTATGTCACACAGTTTTCTTTTACGCGGTGTGTTCTGAGCTGCCAGGGTGCTGAGCGATACTTCTTTGTCCAGCTGTGTGGTCCTGCAGCACAGAAATAGTGGTTAGCTAACCTAACAAGTGATACGATGAAGCCATAAATACAGAGCACCTGGGAGATTTTACCTCTTAGCAAGGATGGTGGCAAGATGAGAGGCGTTTACTGGCTCAGGTGGTGCCGGAGAAGCTGTGCGACTGCCTGGTGATTTATAGCAATGGACGTCCTGTGTGACGCATACTGGAGAACTCTGACGGGATTTGACTGGTTCACAAGATAGAGGCTCGTCTGGGGTCACACTGCGCAGCTGGAAGTCATCGTCCATGGGGATGTAGGGAGCTAACGTCTCCAGATCGAAGTCTTCCGGTGCCTTAAGGGGAGAAAAAAGGTCTAGTGAATCGTAATACAGAGAACTTTTACTGCCTTACTGCCCCTACAGTATCTCCTGGTATTATTACCTGTGTGGTGAAGGGGGTCTTGGGCTCTGTATCAATGGCAAACAGCTTCTCCACCAAGTCGAGTTTGAAATCTGAGCTCATATCTGACTCCATGGGGAAACAAAAGTCCAACGGACTGCCAGGCTGAAGAGATGAGAAGTCAAAAATCATTCCCTTCTCAGTACATAGAGTGGAGCAAAAAGTGTAATACAGCTAAAAGACAATAATTCACTCTGTGTTACCTCTGAGGAGCTGGCCGGTGTAGTAGACGGGGCTGGTTTATAGCGCTGAGCTTTTGCATCCTCAGATGCGGTGGTGACGTGGAGAGGCTCACTGGGCGGCAGAGGGGAAAGAGGCAGAGCCAGCTTGTCACTGGTGGAGGGAAGCATTACATCATTGTAGACAGGAACATCGTTCATCATCGGGATCTCTGAATCTGTACCAGAAGACATAGGGAGGTCAGAACAGTTTCAATCATCCAGGAGATAAACTGTGATTTTGGTTGGGGAGAGGTGCATCTATGAGGCAACGAACCAGGGCAGCTGAAGTCCAGGGAGATGATGGTGTCTCCCGGAGCTGGGGCCAGCAGGGTGAGGGCCTCAGGCTCCTCCTTCAGCCTGTCATACAGGCTAACCAGCGACTGGGCCGCTACTGCCTGAGTGAACAGTTTGATCACATCCACCTCTGGGACCTTCTCCTCCACCTCCTCCTTCAGAGGGGTTGGGGATCTGGGGATATCAGGCTCGCTGCTCTCAACTACAGCCTTTTCTTCCCCCTGCTGCAGCTCCGCCTTCACTGGCTTCACATCCTCAATCTGCTCCAGAGACAGGATCAGTTTCTCCTCCTGGATGCCACTGTAACAGAGTCAAGCAGCCGTAAGACTGAGTGTACTGAGGATTTTGACTTCTGAAGGGAAACACAAAATTGCCATTTGTGATCTATCTATTTTGAACAAGTGAGTTCTTCAGCTATCTCACTTGACATTGCAATCTCTTGTGAAAATACTAACTCTTGAAATAGTCTTTATAGTACCTGAGCACAAAGTTGACACAGACGACACACTGTGGTTGGGAGTTCTTGTTGTTGTAGATGACAGTGGCTTGGGTCTCCACCCACACAAAGCCTCCTCTCTTGGCCAACATCCGGTACTGGCCTGTGCAGACTTGGCCCTTTGCAAACACTAACAGCCGAGAGAAACAAAAATTAGACTTGACGTGGCAAACCTAAGACAGCTGGAATTTGTTGTGGATTTAAGAACAAGTTTTAATTGAAGATCCATGCTCTCTTTGTGTCTGCTTACAGTTTTGGTGAGTCTTGGTGAGATGGTCTGAGTCCTGAGCGTGATAATACTCGTACACAGAACGATTCAACAGGTCCTCTGGATCATAACCCATGAGTTCAGTGATCCTGGACAAGCAAAAACAAAGTTATTCCTCACTGACAGGCTGAGAGGATTTAGAGACTAGGGTTGTGTAATATTTACACTGAACACTAGGTGGCTCTCTGTGACTAAGAAAGTGACAGCTTAACCAATTAAAAAGTACTACACAAGTGGCTTCAGAGGCGACCCCTGCTAAGCATGTAATACCTCAGATGGAAAAACTCACCTCTCGTCACAATATGTGAACTTCATGTCCATTGTGTGGCGGCTGAGAAAGGTCTTGCTATCCAGTGGGACCTCAATGTTGGAGGGGTGTGGGACGGGGTCACAGATCAAAACCAAATAGGGGATAGGTGGCTCTTTTTGCCCGTTGGTACTCTCCTCAGTGTGGCTGTCATATACATGGACATGTCCTGAGCAGTGGAGCACCTAGAGAGACAACAGGAGGGTCACAACACTTTTATATTATAATTTACAAACCCCAAGGATAGTAATTTTCCTAATGCAGCAGACAGATCATTATCAGATATAAGTAAAAAAAATACATGTGTTCTGACATACAAACAAATACATAACTCAGTGTTTTGGGCATGTGGGTTGCTGTTGTGTGGTTTCAATAGCAGCTGCTGTTACAGCAGCAGCCATAATTGTACAATTGATGGTTACATAATATTATCTTGTCTGACTAAATTCAAAAATGTTTTCCATCTCCATAAAAAAATTAAATGCAGGTGCTTCTGAAATGTCCTCAGTTATGATATAATATGAAATTCAGCAAACACATATTGATTACTTCCAATTATTCAGGACTATTTCTACGACACATTTCAAGTCAAAAGAATGAAATAAACTTGAGATAAACTTGTGAGCAAGGGCTTTACAAATAAATTATTTTTAAATTCATAAAGGCATGTTTTAAGTGCATTATATCATGCTCACTCAACTCCTTCTGCTTTAAAGTTCCTAACCGATACAAGTAAAGGCTAGATGTAATCTAGGTTTTCTATATGTATATATGTCAACCACAGACACTGTGTCTAGACTAAAATGATGGTCTATTTCCTCTTCACATTAGGTTATTAGAACACTGCTGATGTAGACATCCACTATAATGTTGTCTGTCACTTTTCCAGTTGTCTAACTCTTCCCCCACCTTGGTCATCCAACACATTTTTAAAAATACTTTATACTAAAATTACTACATGAGAGAACACTTCCTCAGTGATTCTACCGTGGCTCACCTTCCATGTAGCTGATTTGACATTGACGGTGCGGCCCCTGCTTGTGAGAGTGCACTTCATTCGGAGGAAAAAGCTGCGCCCTGTGTTTGGTTCCTTGGCCTTCTTGGAGCCTGAAATTACATGAGCAGGAAGAGACTTACAGTTGAAAAGAGGAAACCAGCTTCTATTATCATTTCAACAACGTTAGCATTTACAACTGCCTCCATTTTATTTCAGTGCTTTATTGCAAACTTTTTTCCAACTGCCAGCAGCCCACATTTGCATTCAGGAAGACATTAAGCTGTAATGTTTTTTACACTGTGGTCAGCTACAGCAAGATAAGAGTTAACAGCCGATAATATCACTGTGTGCTGAAGTGTCAACAAATTATGTTATGAATGACATTTTCAGAGGGAAGCGCTAGAATATTTTTGCTTAATTAATTTCACTTAAAAACTGGAAACGATACAAAAAAGTAAACCCACTGACACAAACCAAGCCTAAATTCTGCTGTGCAACCAAAACAGTAAATATGCCAGTAATGTAGCACACTGTTCCTGTAATGCTGAATGAAAGGTCACTAAAGCACACACAGTAGCCAACTTTAATCACTTTGACCTCAGGCCTGAAGTGGGGAAATGATAACTTGTTCCGACAGCCCTACTAGTCTGAATCTGCCAGCTCAGAGTGAATTGGACTCCCTGCCTATTGGAGCACTGGCAGACCTGACAGAGAGCTTGGGTGCGCCTGTCCCTGTCCATTAGTGAGGTCTTATAATGGGACAATGCCGTTGGTCCCTCACCTGTTCTGTGGACCAGCATCTCCCTCAGCTCATCTTGGTCACAGGGATGTATGAAGTCAAACACACTGTGTCCAGTCAGGTCAAACTGCAGTGGAAAAGAGTAAAAAACAGAATGTGAGTCCTGCTATTGTGTGGTGACTTCTAACCCTTTTAAATAAAAGGCCAAGTGTATGTGTGTTAAAACTAACTAAATTGTATTATTGTACAACCAAATACAATAATTTCCTTGGTTTTCTGCTTCTGACTTTCCCTAACAATGCCCATTCCTCTATGTTCTCTTTAACACAGCAAATCAGACCTACCTGTGCCAGCCCAAGGCACTTGTTGATATTCTCCGAGAGATAGATCATATCTCCGTCTTCAGACAGCACCATGAGAAAACCCTCCAGAGCCTTTAGGTAGGAGCTGTTTAACTGGAGATCCAGGTCTGTTTCCTCGTCTTTCATTGGCTCATCTAGAGGAGATAACAGAGAGGGGATGGGAGAGATAAAGGAAGGTAGGGAAAGAAAAGAAAAGCAAGAGGAAATGAGGCACAAGACATCTGAAGTCCCTGCTGTCTAAAGAACATATTTGAAGCGAGGATACTGCAACACACAGAAAACACATTGTGCCCACAGGTGCATCTGCAAAGAGATCTATATCTGTGCATGTCTGAGTCGATTTCTTAGACCAGCTGACTCAGTGTTAAACCATCTATTGTGGTTTCTTCAGCTTTCCTCTGCATCAAAAAAACTGTTCTCACTTTTTCTTTTGCTGTCTTTAGGGTGTCATTTCCTTTCTCCAAAAAGACAAAAAAAAAAACACAATCCATTCCCACGCTGTCTCTGAGGTAACTGATGAAAACTGATGCAGACTTGGATTATCACTGGGTGTCTGGAACTAAATATAAGAAAAATACAGAAATGCCCTAAGCTAAATTCTCCACTGACAGGTACAAAAAGTACAGGTACTGACCAGTGTTGAGCAGTTTCCTCATGCGCAGGTAGCTGATGGTGAGTCTCATTATTGAGGCCTTGTCCAGGCTGGAGCTGACACTGTGGGGCAGTGGCAGCTCCTGGGCCAGCTCGTAAAACACCTCTGACTCCTTCCCGCGCCGGCATCGCGCCGCATCCCTCGACTTCTCCTTCCTCCGCTCCGAGCTCACCCTGCGGGAGACAAATGGTGGGTCAGCCACAGCCTGGCCACAAGGTGGTTTTGATCCCACTATGCACACTAAAAGAGCTGACATCCCTCCTTCCTGACTGAGTGTGTGTACACGGTCTGGTCAGCCACTGGCCCGTCACTGGAGAGGCTGCAGCAGCTGGAGTTCACAACACGCGAGCTCACGGCCAACCTGCCGTCTGGACCCCCGTCAGTCTCATTTACATACATGGCTATCTGCCACAGTCTTATTGGCTGCTGACCAAAAGAAATGGAGTCCACCCCCTCAAAGTGATTGGCTGGTAGGCCAGGCATGGACTCTTGGTGCACAGCCAAGCTACAGTGCGACACCAATCATTGTGACATTTACGAGCCTGGCTCAACAGATCTACAGGGAGGAGAATGATAATACAGGCACTAACACAGAGAGCACACACAAACACAGAGTGAGTGACACCAACTACCAGGACTACAAACGAACATATTTTCTATATATTTTACATTAGCATCCCTCATAACTGCTTCCTCCTTATATTAGCTCCATTTCATATCAAGCGTTCATGCTGGCAGTTGTCCATGGTCTGGCTAATGGACTCTCAGCACGCTGTAAACAAAATCTTAAGGCCTGGCAGCAGTTTAAAATGACAAAGTACAGAAGATTTTAAAAAGGACACAATGAGTTGCGCAAGTCACTATAAAATCTTTTACTTAAACTTATTGATTTCTCACAATGCCCTTGGCTTTTATACTAAGCCCTGTTTTGAGTTTGTATTTCTATGACTGAGCACATGTGAAGCTAACATGACCACTTACATAAATAGACAAAGACACATAAAAATAAATAAATAAATCTTCAACATAATTGCAATAGTCATGCTGACTGCTGCTGAATTTATACCGTAATTCCTCTCCAAAACCACTATCCTCGTAACCTCACATGCATTTAGATGACACCAGAGCAGGATCCCAACAGAATGGATGGCAGTTCGAAAGCCCTTGGCTTTGAAATGTACACCTAATTGAAATTGATCTGTTATGCATTTACAGCATTGACCAAGGCCATATTGTTATTTGAGGCTCTCTAACGAGAGAATGGACCAGTTAACTAAAATTAGCCAACTGTGTATCAAATCATCTCACAGACATATATTGCATTGCATAGTGTAGGTTAGGGAATGCTTTTGGTTTATAGACCAAATAGAAATGACAAAATTAGTCTATTGGGATAAAAAGTCTGAGAATTGCTTTTGTCTCTCAGAAACCCCTTTCAACCCTATGAATGAACAAACAAATCTAAAAACAAATACAGCCCATGTTGGATCCTGGCCCAACCAGAACTCTACTGGATACCTTTTCTTCCTCATTTGATGACAAAACCTTTTAGATGTAAATTATGTGTAACTGAAAACAGAAACCTTCCTCCTCTCAACGATGGTTATATGTATTGTAATACAGTAATGTTTCAACTTTGACCGTAATTACAGCTAGAAGCACAAGTGTATACATTCATCCACATGTTTGCACACTGGTCAATACCATTGGCAAATATTTACAATATCTTCTGTCAACCCTACAGGGCATAGCCAGATTATTTGGACATCATAAAAGCTGATCAAAACCAGCCTGTCTGTCTGACTTTTTCCTTCAGTAGCACAACAATCACCTCCAACCTACATTCATGTAAATAAAACACAGAGTGAAATGATCACAAATGATTAATGAGGGACTGTACACAGAGAACTAGAGCTGTACCAGCGTCCTGACTCAGAATTCTGTCAAATAAGATTTGGCTGTTCAAAGATTTTTTTTCCCCATACGGACTATCTGGCAATGAGAAAATACACTGGCACGAGTTTCAAATGCTACAGAGTCATGGGAACATATTTTTGAGCACTTAAAAATGAATGAAAGACAGCTGCATATGATGCAAGATTTGAATAGCAGCCTGTTTGAATTGCCCAACATATAATGTCGGGCAACCATCTGAATTTGACGGAAATAGTTTGAAAATAGTTTGATTTTGATTAATTTGACGGAGTACACATGTATTTCTGTTCTCTCTTGCTCTCGTAATCTTTTTAAATTCACTTGCTATGAAATAACACTCACCACACTAAACTCATACCAGTCTAAGTCTTTACCTGCAATGATTTAATTTAATGCCTTTCTTCATCATCTGTGATGATCAAACATCAGATTTCAGTCAATAACAGTGGACGGCAGTAACGGAGGTACCACCGTCTGGTTCAGAAGTGGTTATGCCGACTTTACTGACAATCCTCACCGCAGCAGAGAGCGTCGGAGCAGCCAACAGACTGGAGTTGTGCTGCCCTGCCTCACGCTGCCCTCCATTTCTATCGCCCTTCTCCGCTTCCGACACACTTAGTTTTATGGTCATTTTGAGACTCGGTTCATTAAGTTTACAGCCTGCCATGCTGTTGCTCCTGCATTGCTTTGGGTAAAATGACGCAGCTAAAAAACAAAAGTGCATTGCTTCAACTGACAAAATGAGAGTTGACCCGGGGTCTTGATGACTCGAATAGACTTTCAGGCAGCAGCCCTACAGACACGCTGAAAATCATCTCGCTAAGCTACTGGCTGAGCTTATGATGATCTAATGATAGATAACACATTGTTATAACCTGTGATCCTACTAGGAGGCTGGTTGATTCATTAGTACAAGCCTGTATACAAATTAATTTCCTCTGTGGTGGTTGTATCCCATTGTATCACATGCCTTCAGGCAAATCCTATCCAAATGAATGTCAGCTGTAGAATTCCAATACAACACACCTCCAGTGAATGCATAGGTAAAAAACATTTAAGCCTACATTCAACATGACAAACAGTACAATGTATAAGCTGTGGATTACTACAATGCACAACAATACCAAAACTCTATGGATACATGTGATAGCAAAGACTCAAACAGATCATAAAAAGCAGATTATATTGAAAGCTTTTTTAGACCTACTCAGTATTGTAATACATAATTATAAAGAGTAAAACTGCAGCAATTTGATGAGCCATCTCCACCCTTTTCAAACTTACATAAGGGAGCTAAAAAAATGCTTTTATTCTTTTACTTGAAAACACGCAAGGAAAACAAAACAGCTCCCTTGATGTTAAAACAAAGGCGAGCAGAGGGGCCACCATTACATAACACTATTAATGCACATGGTCATGCATGCCCAGCAGTCCTCTGCCTGACACGCTTCACTGCAAAAACAATCACATTTGCAGTTTTGCTAACTTTAATAAGATTTGTTTAGTTTTCTAATAAGAATGAGTGCTATTATGTAAACAACACTTAACAGATGTGAACAAGTGGGCTGAAGATTAATGGGGAAACAAACCAGCGTTCAATTAAAATCACACTTTCCAATGCTACCCGAGTTGCTTGTGTATTTTGTAACTAAGGGCTGACCTATTTTACTAGAGAAATGTTCTCACTCTTCGTCAGTCCTGTTTACTCTGACTGTAAACATTGCCTTATCTATTATATAATCCAGTCTGAGGAAACACCACAACTAAAACCTCTACCCAATATGGGGAGAAAAGCAAAGCAAGACTGCAAAAAAAAAAAAAAAACCTTTTACAGACAAATGAACCTTCGACATGACTCAGTGGTGGTGATATTAGATATTTCCTTGCGTTCAGCAACTCAATAAATAACTGGTCGTCTAAATGATTAAAACTCGATCGCCTCATAGTTGTATGCCTCAGCCAACTGGTTCAAGTATCCGTGTCTAGATCATATAATATGTAATTAATACAATTTTTTAAATTTAAATTTTAACTTTGACCTTTTGGACATAAAATGTCATCACTTCAGAATTTTTATCAGACATTTGTGTGACATTTTGTCATAATAAATTTATCAATTCTTCAAGTTTTGGGGGAAAATGTGTGATGTGAGGTCACAGCGACTTTGACCTTTGACCACACAGTTGTAATCAGTTCATCCTTGAACCCAAGTAGACATTTGTGCCTGATGTAATGAAATTCCCTCATGGCATTCCTGAGATATTGCATTCACAGGACAGACGGACAAATGGTCCCACGTGAGCTAGTTCCACTCATTAATCAAGGCGACAAGAGTTGGTTCAAAGCCCTGAAAAGGCTAGCGAGCCCACCTGGAGTTGCTATTATTTTGTCATGCCAGAAAAAAAATAAAAATGTTTTGTTGAATTTACAGCCCGCCATGCTGTTGCTATACTATACTATACTAGTATAGTTTTTCCTTTTTTGGCATGAGGAGTATGACGCCTTAAAGAAAAGCATATGAGGCACAGTCATCAGTTGTCAGCACCGCTAGCTTTAAAGTCGGTATTCCTAGAGTTGTCACATTATATTACAACAGATTTCTGATTAAAATACATATTAAGCTAAATCTGTTTTTTGATTGTTTTGTTATCCTCATACACAATATACCAGCTGTTTAGCCTGAGATTTTCACCAGCGGTGGTAGATTGAAAGCTTACAAGATTCTTGAGTTCAGGGTCTCTAAGTAGTGAACGCCTGGTAGTGAACGCGCCCATGTACTAAGGCTGAGTCCTTGCTGCAGCGGTTTGATACCAACCTGTGGCCCTTTGCTGCATATCATCCCTTTGCTCTCCCCCTTTCCTGTCTCACTTCAGCTGTCTCTGTCAAAAAAAGGCTAAAAGTTAAACTTAAAATAAGGACCGTTGCCTGTCCCTCTCAATTGGGCGGTCCTGGCAAACATACTAAGAATGACCAACATTATAAACCATCCACCACACTAATATAATTTAAATGACCTTCTTCTGTGCTACATTCCCAAGAAAGACTACTTCAACTGATTACATCTGGTCCCACTTACGCACTTCATTCTAAAAAAAAAAAGCCCCTCGATTAGTTAGCGTAGTCTGACTCACCAGATATGGACTGCGCGAATCAGCCTCCAGCTGATAAAGCATTTTACTTCCTTTGACTTTACGTGTGTTGCCATTTAAAAAAATTTTCATCTCTGACTGGTGTTCAATGAACAGAGAGTGTTAGGGAGTGTTCAACCCATACTTTGCAGGATTCATTCAAAAAGCAGACATTCATAAATAGAGTAGATTCTTCTGGGTTTGACTATAAATGCAGTTTTGCAGGGAATGGGTATAGCGCAGCCAAAAAAGCTTTTATGCTTGTTTTCCGCCTAAATATGACACGTGGCAACTGGCAAGACAGGTGCCTGGGAGACAGATGTACAGCTCTACCTTCATTTTTGCATACCACTCAGATTTTACACTTGGTCAGTGTTCTGAGACTTTGATCATATACACTGCTGACCTTTGGTATTTCAAATCACTTCCAATTATATCACAGCTAAGGCTTTTCTTCAGCGTCACTTCAACGGTTCTGTCTGAAAAACTGTTCATAGTTGGTGACACAGAGAAAGAAAGATGTAATATTGAAATATGTTATCTGTGGTGTATGAAATATGGCACATTTTGGACTCGCCAGACCCTGATACACAGGAACCGATCAGCAGTGGCAAATGTATTCTAAAATATGCTGAAGACATGATGTGCCGAGGTATTGTTTTCATACTTCCTTCCTTGTATTGTTCGTGCGTCACTCTGTCACATCCATTATGACTGTGGTGTATTAAAAAGATCTATCATTACGCAGAAAAATGTGGGATTTGACATCTTACAGGATAACCCTAGTAGATGGTTTCTGATATGGTATCACTGAGCCTTTTCCTTCACAATTAATCAGTCCTCACAATTAAAGCTCAGGAGCCCTAAACTACTGTTTAATATTTAGATTTCACTTGCAAAAGTCTCTCTCTGCATTTTTAAACACAATAATCACTTGATCAGCTACAATGACCATCCACAGAAAGCAGTGATTTATCAGTGTGATAAAAGCAAGCCTTCTGCACACATTTTTTTTTACTTTTGTCTTCCATCACAAAACATGAAACAAGAAACATGTGAACACAAACAATACTATGCCCTGTGCTGGCAAGAAATCCAATTTCTTTTTCAAGTTTTAACTAGCCTGCACACAAGTGGTAATTGTGTTTGAATGTCTCAGGGCAACCTGCAAAATTGCCAGGCAGTGGATCGCTACACACATTTGGCCACTCCTATTGACGTCAAGCCCTAGTGATTAAGAGATGAGACAGAAATAATACCAAAGCACCAGACGAGACCAGTCATAACTGCATCAAACAAGACCACAAATCTCACTTTTCCTGAGATCAAACCGAACACAGTTTGCACATTTATCGACAGGATGCTGTTAATGCTTTATGTACACCTAGAAAAAGTGCCACATTCCCATTTAGCAGAGCATGAGTTAAGCCCATGGGGCATTAGGATGCAGTCTACAACAACACATCCTTAATGGGGGAGTTAGTCTACTTGGAACTGAAAAGATGACAACTACAGGCCAACCATTTAACTTGTCCGTCTACAAGTTAACCAATGCCACTCAACCATTCTGACTATGGAACAAAATGCACCCTACTGAGTTAGCAATATTTCAAAGACATTATTCTCCTTTTACTAACTATTAAAACTTGGGGTACGTTTTTTTTTTTTTTCCAATCACCATCCATCACCTTTACAGCATCGTTTTTATGTATGTAATTAGGACAGACCCTGTTTATCAGATGACTTTCCCTCCATCTGAATCAGTACAGTAAGTGTACACCCAAATAGGAACCAGGACATGTGTGTGGTTTAGCACACAAGAGAGGTCAGAGTACAAGTTTGAGTACATGCATATTTAGTGTGTCTGTCAATAATACAAGTCACCAAGTTCAAGTTCAAGTACACATTACACTTAATGAAGACTCTGCCAGGCTTACTGAATAGTTTTACTTAATAATTCAAACTAATCAGTTAAAAAAAATCTAAATCACTTTTATTTGTGTTGATCAATTAATCATTAAACTGACTCATCAAGCAAAAAGGTAACACACCACTTCAGTCTCTGGTGACTAGAAATTAGCATATCTCGTTATTTCTCACACTTTAGACACTAAATGAGTAGTCAAAGAAGTGATTAATTATGAAAACAACTTTCAGCAGCAGCCCTTATTTGACCTGTTGTCTGTTGAACTTATGTAAAGAAACCAGCTATTGTTTTACTGGTTTAGTTCCTCTAGACAGACCTAGAAATGATGCTGTTTGATAGCATAGATATTTTCGTTTCTGGCTCATTAGTTAGAACAGGTTTTACATAACTGAAAGTTTATAACTACTGATAACGTCTCATCTAAGTTTCAAAAGCTATACAGAAATATGATTACTTCTCTAATCAAACCTTACCATAAACTATTATCAGCTCAGAAAATGAAAAGAGAAATTTAAACCGAGGACATTTTCACTAAAGCCTAAATATTTCAACAGAAACCGCACACCCACCATCCGGCAGAGCTCACATGAACACTGTCACTCAACCCAAACAGTACACCGGCAGCAATGTGCTATTACTGGGATATTTATGTAAAGTGTCACATTCAAAACAAATGTAAATAAAGCTAATAGGAGCTCTCTCAACACCGATCACAAACAAAAACATAGTAACGCCAGCTAACGAGGTACAACCGACTTCAAAGCAGATGTAATCAAGGTAAAGACACTAAAACCAACATGTATATATAATAAGTTACCTGTAATAACTAGTTTATCGTAGTATGTTGTTTAATAACGTAAACAGTTTGACGTCTATCGGTCCTGCTCACCGCCAGCTAGCTGCGTTAGCCGCCTGCTAACGATAATAGCGTCGCTAGCAGACGCATTCAGGCGAACTAACACGCGGAACTAACGTTAGCTGTTAACCTTGAAATAAAGCTCATAATATCACACACACACAAACACACACACACAGTAATCAAAGCCACACACAAAGACCAAAGTTAAGTCCGCTCTTAAACAACAACACAGCTCCGCTCCGTAGCATTAGCTAGCATTGACGTTACCTTTTCTTTTCTGGTACAATTCCTGTGTCCATGTCAGGACGAAAGGACCTGAGTTGAGTCTCTCTATGGGTATCAAGCTGTATCCGGGCCCGTCGAGGAAATGAACCAAAATCCCACGTTTTTTTTTAACACCGATATGAATCTGTGAATCCTCACGAGAGTTGCATACGAGTTCTCACTGTTTATATTTCGTTAAAGAAATCGACCTTTCATCCGCTACGAACACAGCCCGCACGTCCGCTGCTCCTCAGAGACAGTGCCACGCTGGAGAGAGGTTACTTGCCGAGACAATGTTGCACCGTAGAGGATCACTGACTCCCTCCTCCCCCCCAAACACACACACACACACACACACACACACACACACACACACACACACACACACACACACACACACACACACACCCCCCCCCACTGCTTCCGCGGGGACGCGCAGTCACATGCTTTCTCCACAGTGGACGCGCACAGGAAACCTGATAGGATCCACCGACCAAACAGAAAACGAAATGTAATTCTCGACATTCAACTGTTAAGTCTGTGACACCAAAATAGACATTACACGATTATACAGATTAGAGTACTATTTACAACTATTTGTATTTTACAATAAACCAACTATCATGTTCCTTCATCATACAATGTGTCCAGGCTTACTGTGTCTATATCTGTAGGGGTTTTAGGGTGTTTTACATTCAAAATATAACTATTATAAGTAAAAGTAGAGAATAATGCATGAAAATATAAGTTCCAAAAGTAAAAATGCAGAATTGACCATTTCAGAATAATATATATAATATTAATGTATTAAATGTATTAATGTGTTCATCACTTTAATGTCACTGCAAGGTGGACTCATTTTAATTAGATTATATATAGGTGGCTTGATGTACTATAATAATACATCATAATTAATTACTTAATTTACATTTTGTATTACTAATGGGATTCTGCAAAGTCACTAGTAACTAAAGTTATCAAACGAATGTAGTGGAGTAAAAAGTATAATATTTGCCTCCAAAATGTAATGGAGTAGAAGTATAAAGTATCAGAAATACTCAAGTAAAGGACCGAGTACCACAAAACTGTGGTACTTAAGTGCAATACTGGAGTAAATGTACTTCCACCACTGGTCCCAATGTGCACAGGGAAGCAGTGGACAACCACAGCTGCCATTTTACCTTCACCTCTTCTTCAAATAGTAGAATCAGAACTGATTTTACCAAATGACACAACATTATATCAGATTCGTGCCGTCTGTGCCATCCCTCTAGAGTCCCATCCACCAAATAGACCCCTGTCCTGCCCCTCTATGTCTCCACATCACTATCTGGCATCACCCTCTCTGCCTACACCGAGTTTTTTTATTTTTTGCTCTGAATGCACAAAACAAATGTGTAATTTTAGGTTTAATAACACATCTGCTGCTTCTGCATGAACTCACAGAAAAGAGGAAATTGTGTTCTTGGTAAGATTGGGTGGTACTTTGTGTAATTTTAGTTTAATATTAAAGACAATGATCTAAAAACAATATGTTAAAATTGAATGATTATTAGAAAGTTGGGAAGCGAAACGATTTTATATTTTTTGGCACAAAATAGTGTCGCATTACCAAGATGAGTGCAAATGAGGGATTTCAACTAGAATCCACTTCATGCTGACTGGCTTAGTTTTGGTTATAATCCTGAACTGGTTTAAAGATTCCTGTCCAGTCAGGCCCCTCCTCCGTTACCACTGTGCGTGTCTGGCAGTTTTTCATGTCGTCTGTGATTCAGCTCTTGCTTTGGAAAAGAAAAATGGAAGGAAAATTATTTTGCAGCCTCCCCAAAGACCACAGCAAAGCTCACTCTCCATTAAATGTACAATTCTTCATCCCCTTCATCAGACATGTTGGCTGTTATATCTGGCTATGAAGCATGAGAAAAGGTTTGGTTCCCAGAACTGTTGGCTGGATAGGGTACCATGTTGGTGTCATGGGCAGAGCTGCAGGCTTTGACATGAGGGTAGATAAATACATGATCAGGCAGAACTTTTTCTGCTCTGCTCAAACCTTGTCAATTAAAAACTGCAAGAACATCAGTGAGAAGCATGCATGGATCTTCTGGATTCACCTGGTTTGTACGCTAGTAGCCGCCCTTCACCAGAGAGGCCTCAGCTGGTTATACCTGTATTCAACATGGAGGTCAACATTGTTCGTCACAGGTTGTTGTAAAGATTACTCAGCTGTTGGAAAGCTGTTTACTTATTTAGTCATTCTGATTAACTTTACGATTGTCTGGAAGTTGTGTAAAGTGCTAGACACACCCTTTTCTGTGTGATTGGTCATTTGAGAAAGGCTAGTGCATGGTGCCACCTTATTGTTATATTTCAAACTCTGCCAGTTGTTCCTGTAAGAGCAAATTGTGTGAGATTAGTATTTGAGTAATACGTATCTAGTGTGCATAAACATGAACGCCCGCTGGTTCTCTTCTGTGGCGCAACCCTTTCTTATGTCCTAGAAGTTCAATTAAAATACACTGAAGGGAAACTGCTGTGTGACAACACATTGACACAGCCTTGAAAAGAAATGTTGAAATGTACAAGACAGATTGCATTGTTGTTGTAATTATGACCATCCTCTGATTGGATTTCTGAGTCAATGTCTCAATCCCTGTAGCCAATTCCTAGACAGGGCATGACCCATTATCTATCGTAACAGCTACAGGCTGAGTTACTGAGCATGTATGTGAGCATTACAGAACGTATGTGCCTGTGTTGATGCACAAAAAGTGAGAAAATTGAAGATTTCTACAGGGAATTACTTAAGTGATGTTCGTGTAGAGCGTTTTTTAAATTATTTGTTGCTACTTTTAGGGCTATCAATCATTCAGTAAGGACAGCAGGGTCAAACATTGATTTAATCAAGCAGTACAGAGACACTGCTGGCAGCCATCAGCAAGTCTCAGTAATGAAAGTTGAGACAAGGCTCCTAAATCTTTCCTCTCATTCAGACATTACCTGAGGAAAGCTGCCAAACAGGGCCACATTAATGGGTAAACAAAAAGTCAAGTAATTTAATCCAATTGTGCATCCTTTATCTCGCACACCAACCATCTTTGTAAGAGGAATCTTAAAGTAGATTAGTTGTAGTCTTGAGTTAAAAAGAGGTTTAAGGTGGATCAGAGACTTACCAGGGATTTAAGCACGCTAGGAAAAGCTTAGCAGCAGTATTCGCCTTCACTGGCTCAACTGTAGTTTTTTATGTAAACTTTACATTAGCAGAGTAGCTCTGGTTTTGCGCTGTGAGAATAAAGTTTCAAATTATACACAGGCATTTTTTGTACCTGAAGTCACCAATTTACAGTATTTAGTAGCCCAATCCTCCACAAGACGGGGGGCTGAGGAGATAAACAGATGTGATGTGAAGACTTCCTCCCTAAAACTAACAGGAAGAGTCTCCATTCCATCTCCATTTTGTGCAGTCGGAGCGGTTCATATCTGTGCAGGTTCAACCCCATGTACATAAGAAGAAATCTCAACCCAAGCCCCCCCCTTTGTTGTCCTTTTGATTTAACAGTTTCAATTTCTTTTACCAACAGCAATGCACTGTATTTATGCTTTTCAGAGTCTCTCAAAAGCATGATTTCCTTCTTGTGTCTTCCTGTTTCTATCAAAGGCGACAGTAATGACGCGGTGTGGTTTCCTGTTTATTCTCTACTGGGCTGTGATGAAAAAAGCAACAACTGAATGCATCCCCCAGATGAGTGGACAATGTGACTGTACTGCAGGGTTAAAGTTAAAGTTCTCTCTCCATCTACCTACTCCTAGTTTCCATTGTATGTCCTTACAGAGTGGCAGAGTGAATATTTAACTCAGATTTGCCAGTTTAAAAAATGCTCCTATGTGAGTGTTCCCATTACCCAGTCAGTCTGCCCACGGACCTGGGAGTCTTCAAAGGCCCTGTGTTTGCTGAGAGAAAGAGAGTGTGTGTGAGAAGAGAGCAGCAGACTGAGTGATTACTGTTACCCTTGACCAAGACCATTTGATCCTGCCAATTGCCAAACAACATATTCTTCTTCTGATAAGGGAAATCGTGTGGTGAAATCACCAAAATTTGGATATTTCACAGTCTAAGTGAATCAACAGATGAAATGTTGCATCATCCTCAACATGCCTGTCTGATCAAATTACACAGAGAGTCACTGAGACAGATGCCAATTTTTGTTACAGGGTGTGACAAATAAAAATACACTTAGACATTATACATTATCTGTTAGCAGGATGCTTTGCTGTTTTTCGAGCTTCGTTCAAGTTTTATACTTTATACTGAAAGTGGAGGGATTCAACTCTCATTTAGCCAGAGTGTGTGGTTCTGTGCATGCTTGTTTTTTTCCAGAGTTAAGTCACATCATTGAAAAACTATTTCATCGCCTCACTCAGTCCTTCCAGGATTTTAACTGGCAGCTCAACTTTTCTGGGAATCTCTGGCCGGCTGGTTAAAACTGACTCTTGACTTCATTCTTTGCTGAAGCAAAAATGAAACATAGACCATGTCCTTATGCTCCAAAAAGTGTTTTTTCATTTGAAGTAACTGGAAGCAAAATTCATCCACCTATGGGAGAGCAAATTTACAATAAAATTTTGACATTGTACACTTTTGTCAAACAAGTGTGCAACACATCAACATGTCAAACACATAATTTCTACACTTGGATGAATGCGTCCCAATCAAGCCATAACACAGTCGTAACTAAATGTAATTTCAAAAGCTGATCATACGCCACTTTTTCGGGAATCACAAGAGTGCTTAAGAGTTCATCAGGTGCAGCCTCGGTTCTTGTCGAGCATGTGTTTGCCTGACTCCATGGCACTTTGCACCCTCATGTCTCTGGGGAATGTGACAGCCTCACACTGTACGTACCACTGGGAACTGTCTTAGACAAAACCATTGACACTGAGAAGACAAGTGCAGGATGACTAGTGGATCAATGAGAAAGCTTTTAGCTCTCAAGCAGTTCAGGCGAAGTGAAGGAGAAGTTACGAAACTCCTCCTGGTTGATCGAGGGGATCATTGGGTCATCGATGGGCGTGAGTGTGGGCTCTTCCTGAGTAAAATCTGGGTCGAAGTTGTTGACGTCCTCTGGTGTTTTCTGAAGGGGGATGATAAAGAATCATTCAGAGCCACAAAGTAAGACAAAGTCAAACACAACCTAATGTCTGCTGAGTGTCTGCATTATCATTTATACACACACACGTTATCATGGCATCAATTAAGTCATTCATGTGACTTACGATCCTGGGCTTGAAGGGTGGCTCCATTTCTCTACGATTTAACTTCTCCCAATCGATGCCAGCGAAGAAAGCATGGCTGGTCACGGCACTCTCTCCTCCCTCTTCAGCCACACAGCCCAGACGTCGGGCCGGGTTTTTGGTCAAGAACTGTGAAAACCAAAAGATGGATGATTTTACAGACACTTAAGACTAAATAAGGGATAAAAATACAAAAATCAGTTATCAAGCAAACGAATGTAAGATAACAACAACAACAACAACAACAACAACAAAGTAGAATGTGCGGAAAATCAGTGGATTTCAGATTATTTATTTATGACCCATACAAAGAGAGGAAATGTGATGCATGTTAATCAACAAGATTAAACTGGATCTTTCTTGGAGTAATGCCAAAATGGACTCAGGCCAGGATGACATCCAGTCAATCCCCGCCTCCAAACTACCCGCCCTCCTCCCCAGATTGTGTCTGGCGCCACCCACAATGTGAGTTGGTAACAGTTCAAGAGTGCAACTAAGGTGTCTCAAACTTCCTGGTGTTGTACACAGTAAAACAATAGAACAGGGGATCACCTGTTGATCTCCAACTGTTTCTCTGCTTCTATAGTAGTAGTAGGCAGTGGAGGCCAGAGGGAGAAGCCCAAACAAATCAAACTTAAAATTGAAAAGCTTTGTCTTTACTTGCCTCTGGGATGAAAGCGAGAAAACAAATGTGTTTTGGACAGCTCTCTCATGGCTGTGGAGTTTGTGCACACCTTAGGGCTGGCGGTGACATTCAGACTAAGCCACAAACAAATTAACAAGCCTCTGTCTCCCAGTGACAGTATCCAGATTAACCTGAAGTCATTGGAAAGATGAATTTGTCTTGCCACATTTGTCTAGCTCCAAACACTATTACTACCAGAGGCTCAAACAACACGGCATGCTTCACTACGTTCACAAAGAAAGAAAGATGTCAGTGCAGGCAAAGAAGCACTAAAGGAGAAGGAGATTAACTTAAAACACTGACAAAACCAACAGTACGGTTTTGTGTAGCTGAGTCCTATAACTCACAAATAAATCACACATGCCTCACATACTGCTGAGCAAGTACACATCAGTAATCAACATGCAGAGACATGAAACCTGCTTGACGTCAGAATCACTGTTAACATCAAGACATCTTTATTTTCTACAGGGAGGGAAAAGAAACATTACAGTTTTAATACTCATGCAGTTGTGTGCATGGATTTGCAGCTGTGAGCATGATTTTGATGACGTGATTTGTAGTTAATGGGATAAAACATATTAAGAAACCACACCAGTATACCAGTAAGGTCCTTGAAGTGGAAATAACTGAGTTAGTCAGCCCAGTAGGGGTCAATCAGTTCAGGAGCTTACAGACCGCAAAACTTAAGAGAAACTATTCCACTGAGGTTTATGCCATCTTTCCATGGCTACACGTCAGCTGTGCCATCCTTAGCATCAGACCAGCCATGTCAGCACTACTGCACGAAGAAGCCTTCTCCTTTACACCAGCAGAAAGATACAAAGCAATAATAAGGGAATACTTCTGCTGAAACTTTGACTGATCAACAATTTTGATTGAATCTTATTTACCGAAAAGTTATCTATAAAAGGAAAAATGTCAAACATTTCTGGTTCCGTCTTCTGCAATGTGACGATTAAGTGTTTTATATCAATGTAAATATGAACATCTTTGGGTGTTTGTTTGACAAAAGACGCAATAGTGAGGCTGACCTTTGACCTTTGGGATAAAAAATGTCATCACTTCATTGTTGTATCACATCAAACATCTGTGTGAACTTTGGTCAAAATTATCACATCGATTTTTGAGTTATGACCAAAATCATGTTTCTCAAGGTCATTTTGAGGTCACAGGGAACTATGAAATGTCTCCAATTCACTGTCCGACCAATTGTGAAATATGGTCATCAATTCTAAAGTTATGGCCAAAAACTTGTTTTCTGACAGTGACCTTGACCTTTGACCACCAAATTCTGATCAGTTCATCCTTGAGTCCAAGTGGACGCTCGTATCAAATTATAAGAAAATACCGGAGCGGAGCAGCAGCTGGGTTCAATTGCCTGCAGCCCTTTGCTGCAGGTCATCCCCCCTCTCTGTCTTCACCTGTCAAATCAAATTAAGGCATGAAAAGCCCAACAGATATCTTAAGAAAAAATTAAAAACTCCTAGAGGAGTTCCTGAGATATCGTGGATCGCATCTGGCCATGGCTATTGCATAAAAACACTGAAATAACGTTCAGTGATTATTTAGTAATTAATCCCAACAAACTCAACATTGGCGGTACATTCTATACATATCCTCACAAACCAACCTGACAACTGAACACCATGAACTTGTTTATAGGAACGAGAAGAACCTTGCAACGGATCAACCTACAGTATAAATAGTGCAGCAGCGTTCAATCCACTCACACTAACATGCATCTTTACATAACAAGTGACACTGGGAATAGACACAAATCACGAGGGGAGATTGGTCCGGTGCTTCCTCAAGCATGTTGGCATAACAACAAGGATAAGAGGAGGTGAGCAGGGTGCAAAGAGGGGAGGAATTGGAGGGAGGAGTTGTAGTCGTATTTATAGCTTGTGTGCTGTGGCTGGGCAGTAGACCATGCCTTAATATAGTTATGTAAGAAACTTGGGCCAAACAGCTGGCTGGCAGAGCTCCATAGGGCTGCCAGTCACTCTGCAGTCAGAGAGTGTCAGTCAGCCTGAGGGACAACAGATAACAACCCCTGATTACAGAAATCAACCCTCTGATGTCTTAATACATCACACTAGGCTCATGGTACACTGTCCAGGAATGCAGGGAGTTTCTTTTAGTAAATGTTCACACGACTTATTGATTTTTCTCCACAGCGCCGGTCACAAATCCAGGGAGACATTGATTTCCTCTATCATTAGTTCAGTTTAAAAAAAGCTTCAAAGACATTTCCTGCAATTGTAAAGTGTGAAAGAAGTCTGACAGAGAGGCTAAATGTCTGAAAAAAGACAAAGACTACAGCAAAACCTGGCTTTCATCCAACTATATCCATTCTACTTTTTTTTGTTACAGTTAATGAACCACTTACTGCGAATACAAAACAAAAAGACTCACAGCTTTGAGTATATTCACTGCCTCTGTGCTGAGCCAAGACGCATAAACAATCTCTTCATTGAGGATGGACTCAAAGAGGTCATCTTCATTTTCGGCCTCAAAGGGGGCATGGCCTGACAGCATCTCATACAGCAGCACCCCGAGAGCCCACCAATCAACAGAGGGCCCATACAGCATCTCCTGCAGGATCTGTGGAAACATGTCACAGCATACCATTAAAGGTTACCATCACAGCACAGAGAGCATTAGAGAGTCTCAACAGTAAACTTAAAACTACTCTGTGTTGGATTAGTGTGCTGCCAGTGAGGCTGCACTGAGGAGCAAGTGTTGAGGACAGCAAAGGAGCTTTTCATAAATCCAGACACACGGCCTTGGTCGGAGAAGAAAATCTCTCAAAACATATAGACACAGACCATCTTCATCCCTCATTATGAAAACCAAGCACGCCTGTAAAGAGATGAGGGGACCAGGGCTCGTCGAGTCAACAGCACCATTCACAAGCTGACCTCACGGGTACGCTGCCTTCCAGTTAGTCAGGAGGGAGTTTGGAGTGACGGGCAGTGACTGCAGTGTTTGTTTTTAGTGAGGTGGTGTGATGGAGAGTATGGTACTGGGAAATGCATCATATGAACTCAGAAGGCCCAGGCTGCAGGAAGCTAAATGTGGCTGAATGTATTATTTGCTGAAATCTATTAGGGTCTAGTGTGTAACATTTAGGAGGATCTATTGGCAGAAATAGAATATAATGTTTATAGGTATTTTTACATTGGTGTATAATCACCTGAAAATAAGATTTTATGTGTTTTTCGTTACCTTATAATAAGCTGCTTCCAGGGAGCAGTTCCTCATCTTTGGAGTCCACCATGTGAAACCGAATGTTTCTACAGTAGCCCAGAATGGACAAACCTAACACTGGCTCCAGATAGGGCCCTATGAGTTTTCACGCTTCGAAGGTGAGTGGTATTCAGTTGGGTGAAAACTACAACTTTACCCCTAGATGCCACTAAATCGTGCACACTGGTCCTTTAAAAAAGCTCCTAAATGTCCTGTATCACAGGTGTGGTGGATAAATTTTCCAAATATCTGCCATTATTAGTAGTTATAGGTGCTAAACTGTATGTGTATAAAGTTACTGTATGTTTGTTTAGCACAAGTGTAGAAACTGACCTCGGGAGCAATGTAATCTGGGGTGCCACAAAAAGTTCCTGTGGCTGCACCTTCAAATATCCCCTCTTTGCACATGCCGAAGTCTGCCAGCTTACAGTGACCGTCTTTGTCAAGAAGCACATTGTCCAATTTTAAATCCCTGAAAGACAAACACAGAAAGAAACAGACTATTAAGTTTTTGTCATATGGTATTGTTACCTAGCGGACATACACGGAAAACTGTAAAAGACTGAAAGCTAATCAGCCACCAATGTCCTGGTGAAATAACACTTTGTGCTCAGTCTCCAGTCGCACCCTGTTGGTGTTGTTTCTACTTATATCTTACAGAGGCTGAAATTTGTGGTGAGACAAAAAAGACAGTGAAGCTCCTGTAGACACTGACAGACAACTCCCTTGACCATTAAATGGCAGCCAGGAAAAGTCTGACACATTCAGATGACCACTTCGGTTGCCAAGAAAGGAAAAGAGCTCTGATGTCAATATTTATTCTGCTTCCAGGAGAGGCTAAACTTGAGCTAATTGTTTTTTGTGGAACAGATCCTAACAGGAAAGAAAATCAGTCACATGTACTGGAAGTGAATGAGAGTGATATTATGTTGTTTATGATTAATTATGCAATTTGGAACATATTTTTTGGTTATCAATTCGGGTTGTTTTCCTCTGAAGCAAACCTGTGATTTGAGGAATATAAATTAATTTGACTTAATTCAACACCTGAAATTAACTGTTAAAATCATCAAAGATAGATAAATTGGCTGGAATGAATTACTAGCTACCACGTTTTATTTTATTACAAGACTGAAAACAATTTCATAGTGTTCAGTATCGTGAACCTGATGAATGTATATTGTTATTAGTGCGTCAATTTTATGCCAACTAAAGCCTTACTTACTTAAGACTTAATGTGAACTGCAATGTCAGCAGATGTACTCATTGCTGCATGTGGATGCATTCATGACCAAGTAACTGATTTTTTCTTCTGGCAGAAAAATGAATAAATATAAATAAAAAAGGATCCTGAGTAATTTCCTCAACCAGGACACAAATACAGGAACATAGAAATTCTGAATGTAAAAGACCGGGCTGCTGGTCAAGCAATACTGGTTTGGTCGGATTAAACTGGTTTGCTCTTGTCTACCATAAGCCAATTGTGTAACAGTGACTCAGATGCTCATGGTGACTTTAGTTTAATAAACAGGCCAAAAGAAAGCGGATGCTTTGAAATGATGACCACTCAGCCACACTGTACACAGTTTAGAGCATGTAAGGCTTAATACAAATGGTTAAAAATTAAATAAAGGCCAGTAAATATATTTATGTTTAAGTGGGTGATTTTCTACTCCAGATATGTGGCCAGTTCTGCTTTTTCACAAACATTTTTTATACTCCAAACCACTTTCCAGGCCTACTGGTGCATAAATCTTAGTTATGAATGAGTCCAGTGGGAAACGCATCCCGAACACAGGCAGTTTTACTACCATGCTCTTATCACTGAGTTACACAGGACCACACATCTCTATGCAAATAACCCAGTGCAACTAGTGCTCCAGCACTCCTTCATTCACCCCCTCTATTAAACTGGAAGTCTTGACTTAGACTTTCTATGGGAAGTGGGTCAGTCGGGGAGTAACAGCTCACATCTGAAACACTGACAACACTGAGATACCGAACTTTATCACAATGCAAAAACAGATCACTGGGTAAAAGGTGGAGTTGCACTAATATGAAAATTTCCAAAGAAGAGAAGAGGAAGTCATGACAAATACTATGACGCCAGACTGTTTTTTTTTTTCTGCATGTGGTTAGAGTGTAAGAGTGCATCTGGACAACTGACCTTGTACCACTGTAATGCTCATCACAATTTAGCAGTGTCTTGTTATACAAGATGAATTAAAGCACTCTTTGTGATAAAATATTGGTATAAAGTTAATGGATTTTAAAAATCCATTACATGGTTTGTTCTCTATCACAGTGGTAAGGACTGGGGAGAAGAAATTAGACACTACAACACAACACCTCCCCCTGGCACAGTCCCAAAAAAAGCCTCATAAAAGGAAGTTGAAGTTGACTTATAGCAGCTGTTCACTTGCGGTAGACTTAATTTTAATTAGCTATTATTTTAATCTTCTCATTATTTAACAATTGTAAGTCAGGCTGGGTTCAGACTGTTTGAAATTATCAAACATCAATGTCAAGTAAATGTATTTCATATCATGTAAAACAACTTTAAACCTATTTTTGAGGAGAAAGGTTAGAGGAAACATGGCCATGTCTGTGGCATCAACTAAGAAGCTTTAAAGCACGACTTTACCTCAAGCTATAAGAGCCACACAGAGATAACTTGTCGAGTCACGAGAAGACATGCACATTACACAGCACAGTGACCGGGGCCACAGTTTTATTTTAAGGAGGCAGCACAAGCTCTGCTCTTCGTGCACTGGCCTGATGTGCAAGCAGCTATTGGGTTTGTTATTTTAGTGTTAGCATGCAAACTGCGTGTGGCCTCTTAAGCTAACTGTCACGCTATGGGGTGCAGGCACAGAACACATGAACACACTAAATATAACTCAGGATTTAGCTCACATGATGCCCCCTTCCTTATCATCATGTACTGGCTCAGAGCCTGCTGCCCTGCCACCCTACTCCCTACAAGTAGCCAACAGCATCCTAAAAAGGCCACAAAGACTATTCCCAAATATCAGATTTTCTGCTTGAGTAGAAGCAATATTAGGATTTCCTTATAAAAAAATCTTCAGAACATTAAACTGTATTATTACAAGTACAGTTCACTCAAAATGAAAACTGTAACCATGCAGTTGCAGCGTGCACACTATAGCAGTCTGCTGTTACACTGTGCTTACTATCACAAGGTATGGACGTGAGCGCAGCCTTGAGGAAAATATAACTGATGATGAGCTAAACATTTGGATGCACAGCAAATGTGCTGGCTGCCTGAAAATAATTAATAATTAATTAATTATTAATTTACGTGAGGGGAAACATCCATTTAAAAAGGAGCTGGTCAGTGATTTTGTATTTCACTCCCATAAAGTGGGACGGTTTGCAAAACACAGAATAAACAAGGCCAAGACAGTATCCTTAATCAAGTACATTTCTATAATGCAACATTAGAGTGTCCTTTAGTTAGACTGTCCCTGTTTTATAAATAAATGTATAAATGTCATTTTCATCTAACGATTGTAACACAGATTTTCTGTATTAAATTTATAGTCACTAAATCCAAAAATGTTATACAGTATAACCCTGATTATGTTCATCAGGGGTTATCTTCTCAGACTTGACAACGCAAGACTGTTGTGTCACTGATATGTGTGAAATGTGTGGTCTCCTTTAACAAGCAATTAATTATGATATTCAGCTTATTTAGATTACTTTTCTTTAAAAAAAAAAAATAATAATAATAATAATCCTCCCTATTCCCTATTTTCATGACTTTAGAAACAAGATGGTGCAGGATCTTTGCAGAATATGACATCTCCAAAATATGACAATAAACAAAATTACATTCTTCAAAATACTATTTTAGGACTCAGGTCCTGTGTGTATCATTTAGGAGGATCTATTGGCAGAAATGGAATATAATGTTTATAGGTATTTTTTCATTGGTGTATAATCACCTGAAAAAGTATTTACTTGGTTGTAATCTGCAACCGCTGGAGGACACTAAATCCTACATACTGGTCCTTTAAAGGACAAACTATGTGATTAAAATGAATGACTTACTGCAGTAGACTATTACTTTACACTTTGGAGACCTTTGTGTGCACAGATATGTTCCATTATTTGTGTTCCCTAATTCAAACCTGTAGAGGATGCCTTTGCTGTGCAGGAACATAAGAGCGGAGGTTATCTCTGCTGTGTAGAAACGTGCTCTTGGCTCTTCAAACTTCCTGGACTTCTGGATGTGGAACATAAGATCGCCACCATTCACAAACTCCATCACGAAGAAGAGACGGTCCTGCGGAAGGAAGCGAGGAGATGACATTCACACATGTGCACACAAACTGCATTAGCCTCACAGAGGCTCCCATGTTATTAAACAGGCCAAGAACCCATGACCATGGACCATGCTGAGATGGCTCCAAGGATACATGTCTGCTTCTCATAAATTTCACATGTCTGTCTAATGGGTTCCTATAGAAATGACTGCAGTTGAAAGTCAGCGGGGCAAAGAAATACTGATCAAACCCATAAATCTTACTTTCTCATTACAGGATATGGTCGGTATGTGATCTAGAAAATGACAGCTGGATAGAAAAAACACACTTCAGTAGAACGCGATGTTCACATCTGCCCATAAAGCTTCCTGAAGGAATCAGGAAATTCAGCCTGAGCTGAGTCTGTTTAACTGCTCTGTGGTTTAGAGTGGTCTGGTATTCACCCAGAGATTACAGGTATAAAGTATAATAATAATGTGCTGCACAAGCAAAGCAGACACACTGTGTGTGGTCTAACTGTAACTCTGTGGGAATCTTTAAATTCACACTGGAAAAGTTTCTTGGTTGTACATTTCTGTTGGGTCTTATTTGGCTATACATTTTAAAATGCTAGTCACACTCCGATTTTATCTCAAAACCACTGTTCACAGTTTCAATTAAATTAAATTCCACAGAATTCCTTTCTACTGACATTGAAGTAACCACAGATGCCATTTCCTGGGGTGGTCATTTCAGATCCAATGAATGGCTGCCTCTGTTAAGTAATTCTAATTATTTTGCAAGGTTGCCTCCAAACCACCGTAAACTTGAAGAGTGAGATGTTGGGCAATGCAAAACTAGATTTAATTTGCTGTTTAAAGATGAGCAGCTGATGATAAATTGCTGAGTTGAAGCAAAATTCTCCTGAGACGGACCATTTGCTGAAAGAAAAAAAATGGATGCTCACTTCTCACCATAGGCGCAACATATCCCTGCCTTCTCATCCCCTCTGCCACTCTTTCCATACAAACTCACTTGGATTTTTAAAAGTCACACTGTAAACAAGCTCAAAATGGATACAAAATTACTAAAAGAGTAAGAAGGATTGTGTGTTTGTTTGTGGGTCTGAACAGGTCAGGGGGGCAGTGTCATTGAGTTAATTCTTCACTGCGTGCTCCTCTATCCTGATCCAAGGTGAAGTAGGTCAGTGGCGGTTCAAACAACAAAAGCAGATTAGAGGTTTCCCGTCTGCGCTGGGAAGAAGGGCTTTACCAGAACAGCCTCACTCACTCATTCCTCCTCCTCACGCCCCCTCAGGCTTAAGACTGAGAACCTGCTGCCACCTGCTGACCAACTTACACATCACAATGCTGTGTTCAAATGACACAATATGGTAAATGTAACTTTGCTAGTTAGTTAGTTAGTTAGTATACAAACATCAATGCACTTAGCCATTTTTGCTGAAGAGGAAAGAGAAAACAATCAAACTGCACCTTTGGAATACCTCTACGGATTAAACTGCTCAAAGACAAAGCGAAATGTTCTCCAAAGATGAAATACGTATTTGTTTCCTGTTCGTTTGTTTCCTAGAGTTTTTTTTCACACCTTTATCTGCTATGACTTTTAATATTTGCAGCCGTCGGTAGCTCCTTTTTTTATTTGTGCACTGGACTGTAGGACATCAGTGTACATCAACTGCAGTGTATTTATTTGTCACTTTTTTCAAGTATATTTCATTTTCTAACTTTTCCAATGGGATCACACTGCATACTCATAACCTGCCTATAATTAGTATGTGGTATGACATTTGGAAACAGATTAATGATATGCCACTCTTATGAATCCCATGGTATTTATTAAAATGTAAAATTTATTTTTATTTATTGTGTTTATATTAATTTATTGGTAAGCAAAGCTATACTGAAAACTATGCTATATGAAGACTAACAAAGTACTGTAGTACAGAAATATTCAAGGATGATTCAAGTTTTAAGTAACAGCACTTGTTTATGCCACAACTTTATCAGAAAACCTTTCTTCAGGAAGACAAAGGAGAAGGTATTTGGTTCCCACACAGTATAGGCCAACTGAACTCTGACACATCTGTACTGACCGGTGTCTGGAAGCAGCAGTACAACTGTGTGAGGTAGGGGTGACAGCGGGCCAGTGACAGCACCCTCTTTTCCGTCATGGTGCACTCCACATCATCATCCTGCAAAATGATGTCCTTCTTCAACACCTTGACCGCAAAAACCCGATCTTTGCTGTTTAGTTTCGCTAGCATCACCTGCACATACAACACACACAGAGTACAATAGATGAGAGATCACAGATTTTTCAGAATTGATTGGTGCTAATGTGTTTTGTATTATAAAATTATTTGAAAATAGTAAATATTCCATAATTAAATGCCTCTAGACCGTACCACAAAGACCTTACTCTGTACTGTATATGTTCCCATAATCTATTTTCTTCCTGATTCTTCCACGTGGTCATCATTTCATTACACAGAGCAGTTCTCATTATCCTCTCTCATCATTCCCACCTTGCCAAAGCTTCCCTTGCCAAGGACTTGAAGGAACGTGAAGTCCGAGATGCCCAGCCGTGGGGTCTGCTGCTGACTTTCCGTACTTTCCCTCCTTTCAGAGGGCGCCCTTATCTGACCTACACTTTTGGCCTGTCAGTGAAAAAAAAACAACAATCCTCAGATCAGCCTGATCAAATTCTCATTTCAGTAAAATCATTAAACACTCTTTTGACTCATTTTGGGAAATTTGTACCACTGAGTTGCGTTTAGCGATTCCTCCAGCCTGCAGACCCATCTCTGCGAGCTTATTGGCCAGTTCCACACTGTTGACCCCACAGTTGGGAGCGACATTGCCTCTGCAGCGGATGTGAACGTTCATTTTACAGACTGAAGAGAGAAACCACACAGACAGGAAAACTCAATAAAAAGGACATTTGAGATCCTGATTTATGAGAGACAAATACTGACAAGGGTCTTACTTTTACAGTGCAGCCCCTGTCTTACTATTCCCCACAGCAGAGAGCCACAGTGGTCACAGAAGGTCGGCGACTTGTAGTTGTGGATGTTGAACTTGTGAGGGACGTTGATGCTGAAGCCTTGGTTTATGGGCTGCAGAGAGAAGACTTATTGTAAACTAACCTCAATGTGTTGCAACACTGTGTTCAATTATACATATTCTAATGAACTATAATCGCCACTTAGAGTGCACTGTGAAAAATTTTTACTTCCTAGTTTTGTCATAGTTTATTGCTGCATTTGCTTCTCTCTGAAATCCCCAAGGAAGAGAAACTGATCATGCTCAGCAAAAACGTAGTAAAGCTGGGCAAGAACGACAAGTTTAAATGCTAAAACAAGCACAAATGTATTTATAGAAACATATGTAAATGCTAAAGCAAGCACATGTGTGGAAAAGTATGGCAGAATATAGTACAGTGTTCTGGCTCAGTGACCAGAACACAGAAACAGGAACCCCGTACAGTCTGCTGATCACTGCAGGTGTTAATCAGAGGTGTGTGTGTGTGTATGTGAGAGTGTGTGGGAGGGGTCTGTCTAACATCTCTGCTATCTTCTGCACATCCTGTATTACAAAAACTGCTTGAGTGCCTGAAACCTTCTGACACACTTTGCGATTGATACTGATGCTGTTAGTGAACAGGCGGAGTAATTGTTGGGCTGATTAAAGTGTCTTACCTGTTCTTTTGTTGGCTTCTTCATGCGTGGACACACAGTGACAACCTGCTGGTGGCATCGCTTATGAACCACACAGGTACACACTGAAAAAAAAAACAATCACTAGATGTTAAACTTGCGTCTTTCTGTTTAACTGTTTCAAAAGGCAGAAAGAGAAAATAAAGCGTGCTCACCTTGACACTGGTAGCCCTGCTTTCCAAAGACACCCCTATAAACAGAGACAAAGGCACAATCAGATCCAGTGTACAGTCCACACAGATACATGCAAGCAGCAGTGATTCACCCTTGCTCGACTCTCTTACCAGATGAACTCTTTGCAGTGAAAACAGAAGGTGGGTTGACGGAGGAAAGTAGACATGAATTTGTGCCCGTTGACCTGGTGGATCCTCCGTCTCACAGCCCCCTGCCGCTTCCTCGTAAACTGCTTGTAGGTCTTCTCTTTCAGTATGGCGTCATCTGGCAGAAATTAAAGAGAGGGGAAGCGTTTGTGTTTAAAGAACAGGAGTGCAACAAAATCCATGAACTAATTCCTAGACCCAATACCAAAACAGTTTAGGTTTGAAAATATGTTAACAGCTATAATCAATATTTCTATATTAACAATGACTATCACCAGGTGATAGTGATAGTGAACTCTGTAGAGCTTTATTACATCTCTCAGCTCATCATTTTGGTTTAGCAACCCACAACTTCACTGTTTTGGTTCACTCTCGTTGCTGGTAACAGGTAGGCGCTTTCAGCTATGAAGCAGCACTACCTGCTCAGCACTGAACAGCAGACAAATTTAGCAACTAGCTGATGAACACAGTGGAGCTTTTAGCAGCTACATACTTCCCGCAGGAGTTGGTGTAGTGCTAAAAATGAATGCTACCACTTGTTTCGTATTTGCTGGATGTGTAAATAAGCAAATGTTGGCTAACAAGGTCGCTGTGTCAACTCAAAAGGTGATACTATGTCAGTGTTGTGTTTAAAGCCTGCAGTAAATTGCAGGTTTGAATAATGTGAATCCAGAAACAAACACTTTTGTTGTCTAAATTAACAACTGATAAAATGTTGATTTAATCTAAAAAATAAATGTCAATAAATAGTGAAAAATGTCCATCCAAATTTTCTAAATTTCTTTCTTTGTGCGACCAACAGATCAAAGAACAGACTTTTATGTAAAAGTGACTCGGGTGATTCAGACAAACACATTTTTGCTTGATGACTGACGGATGATGACATGATGAATAAAGTTGTTGCCAGTGCATTTTAAATTGATTGAAAAGTCAGTGCCCGGTCTAACATTCCCTGTTTGACTTGATGTTACTAACTACTAGACAATCTTTTAGCAAATTATTTGGCATAGCAGAAATAAGAAAGAAAGTGGAGAAAATCATCAGTTCATTTTTCTCCTAATCATCTGACCTAAACTGTGGCACGACAAAGATCCAAGACATTCACTCTTATGCCACAATCAAGTTTTAGTTTTTTAAATGAATGAGACTCTGGCCCACTTAATGTGGACAGATGAAAAAGAAAACTATTAATTAAAAGGTTTTAAAAGAGGATTTACAGTAATTTACACATTATACTGTGTAAATTCAAGTGCATATTTTTACATTTGTGCACATCTATGTGGTTTTGGCTAAGTATGTGTAGTGGAGCTACTTGTGGGGTGAAAACCACACATGTGTTACGGAAAAGTATATGCTGAGCCCCCACCATCCCCTGCAAACAACAGATATATTTGTGGTGTAAGTGTGAAAAGGGGGCTTTACAGTCAGACAGAACTTATGCAAGCTACTTTTCTCTCAGAAAGTTTAATGGACCATATGTTGCATTGCACCGAATATTTTCCCCGATCAGAAAGATTTTTGTTTTTGTATTTATCGAGTTTAAAGAGCATATTGACTAAGGCAGTGCAATCATTTTATATTATATATTAATAATATTGCAATGCCAGCTTTTCCAAATTAGTACATTAAAACTAAGGGTATTGTCTGATGTAACACAAAGCAGTGCAGCTGTCCTCTGCATATTGTGTTAGTAATATCAACCACACCATCCAGCCCTATTGTTAAGTGAAAAATGGCAAGAATGGTGCATTCACTGGCTATCACGTATGAGCTTGTAATTTCTTTTATATTTGGCAACTGACTCTCGTTGCTTGGTGCTGCTTGCGGTCCCTCAAAAGGAAGGGACTTCACCAGCAGACGGTTAGCAGACCGTATTTCAGCAATAGTAACCTTTCGAATAAAGTGACTGAAATATCCATTTAAAAAGAAAAGGTTATCTCCAAAGTTTGGTGAGTAAATGATGATGTTTGTTAGGGGTTTTGTGACAGTATGGTGCTTTGCTGCAAAGCAAACATTCCAGTGGACTAGCAGAGGGCAAAAGGGGGGTGAAAAAAAATAGGTCATATCTGAGCAATGTGACAGGGGATTTTGGCAAAAAAGTGTAGAAAACGCTTGTAAACTTAAACATAAGCGGAAAACACAGAGAACATGTAAACTAATCACATGAATCAAATAATATACATATATATTAAACTCCAATTACTAAAATAGCCAAAAAAGGGAGAAGACGGAGCTGAATTTGAGAAGATGTCCAACTAATTTCCAACAAAGGGAAAAGAAAATTAAACTGCATTTCTCATTTAGTTTCTTAAATAAATGAACCGTTAGTATTTCATGAAGTATAGCAGGCAGTGAGTTATGATGGCAGTAGATAGAAAAAGGGGAACAGAAGGCAACTAATCACCAGCTAACCAGACTTCTGCTTCAAAAGCTCCTTCACTTCCGGCCTGTCTTTATTAAATGGCTCCCATTGGTTAAAAGATCATGTACATGTCTAGGCTACACATGTCATTCATGTTAACGTCCTCTGACGTCTGAACAAAGAACAAGCATACCTGGCACATACCAACCTATTCAAGTCACACCAACACACGTATGCACACCTATTCTCAGAATCTCTAATATTATCCAGGTATAAATGTCTCACAGATAATAGTTATTTAAAACAGTGTTCAGACTACAAAGATCAGACAGGGACCACTTCAGTTCACATATATGGTTGGCGCTGTTTTTCAAGACTACATGTAAAAGAAAGAGAGGAGGAGAGATTTCAGAGTGATATTTAAGCTTGGGGAGAAACACTGGGAAGCCTTACCGTCTGTGAAGGATCCAGTGAGTGAAATATGGACAAAAACCTTGCCTTCTGGCTCCAAGTCCATCTGCAGACACACAAACAACAAAAACAAAAACAACAAAAAGGAAATTAGAAATATGGCTTTTGAAACTATAATTGAAAGTTGTTTGTGCTTTAGTAACAATAAGTGGGTTAAAAAAAGATGCACAAGATGTTATCGGTCTCGGCTCTGGTATACGCATGTAACTGCATTTTCTTTCGCATTCTTCAATGTGTATGTAATGTCGGAGGAATTCTGACAGCGTTGACAGAAAGACAACAAATCAGGTCAGGCAGGTTGGGCTGGTTACAGAGGTTGTGGGGACCTGATGCTCAGCTGTGAGCTGTGAGTGATGATGACTTACAAATGTCCAAACGCGAACACATACAAACGACAGCAGATGGAACAAGGTACTTCCTGCAGCAACCACTGAATGGAAACATGGGTCACTGTACACTTAAATAATGATCTATTTATGTTACACATGCACCCTGCCTGGAAAATACTGTGACACATTTGGTGTCAACCGTGGCCACTCATTCGCTGCCTTTTGTGTAAAAGTTTCAGAAAGAGTTCATTTCACTTCATCTCAAACATCTCCGGTTTTGTTTTTGGTTACCTGCTCATATCCTCTCAGTCTACAGTCTAGACAGAAAGTCTGACTTTTCCACTGCGAAGACTTCCTCTATGAGTATTATCTTTGGCATTTTCACCCTTGTTTACTCTGGTCAAGCTCTGGGTAAGAACTAAAAAGCTGCAGTGCATTTCTGAAATTTCTTCTCCTACGATAAAAGAAGCTCAGCTGTACAAAAGGAGTCCGATTTGAAGGCTGTCTTAGAACAATATTTATATCTATATATACATCAAAAGAATTATTGGTTGTTGTCAAATTCCCTCGTTGTGCTACTATCACTCTGCTGCAGCTCAGCAAAGAAAGGGAAGGAAAAAGAGGGAATTGTGTGTTAAAAAGACAGCAGCTTTGAAAGATAATCACAACGCTATTTTTCGTAACTGCTATAAGATACTGACTACTGGTTATTTGGCTTGACTCTATGTATAATGTAATGTATTCTAGCAGAAAAAACAGCCACATGTCAGAGTCGAACCCATGGTCGCTGCGGCAAAGACTCAGCCTTGTTGTGTGGGGGGGCAGCTCTACCGGGTGAGCTAACGGGGCGCCTCTGAACTTCGTTTTAAGACAGACTTGAAAAAAATGTGAATATTTCCATTACAGGGGGACAGAACAGAACTAAAATAGAAGTGCATGATGGCAGCATGATGGTGTAGTTTAAAAGCAGAACATTTATTGCTGTATCACAGAGGAAGTAGTTGTTTTTTTCAACATAGGGGTTGGGGCCCCGTTTTACTTGAGCAGACCGTACACAGTGCTGGAAAATGTTGAGGGGCCATATTTAGCCCACTTTCAGTTTCAGTGCACCTTACGAGGAAGGACTTGATCACCTCAAGTACAAGAAACAACCCCAACACGACACATACGTCGCTACTGATTATAGCAAAATGATTGTGAAATGTAATAGTTCAAAGAACTGAGTAACAAGTCAAAGATGTCACTATGTTGTGCCATGTTATGTCAAAAGGTGGGAGGCAAAGGAAACTGGCCTCATGCGTCTAAATGTCATGAGGATTTTTTTAGATGGATGATGTCAGTCCTGACAATGACTTCACTCTAAGTTAGAAGGAGTTGAGCAACTAAGAGACTCTGCTAAAGTTGACCTTATAGTATAGAACCAACCTTTCCACTCTCTGTGGGGTTTAAGTGCATCAAACTGGACTGTGTGCACAAAAGGGGCTGCATGCACTGCACAAAGGGGTAAGAGAGAAAGTACAGCATCTGTATAGTAGCCAACAGAGAGTGAATATTTTAACAGTAGGCCCTTGAGCAGTGATCAGATGGTGGGAACGCTGTGATAAACAGCGGTGTGGGCGTGTGGAGGCTTGTGTCTCAGCCTGTCCTGCCTCATGTGTGAAACAAACCAGCCCAGCACTTCTGTGCAACAATGCACAAAAAGCCTTCACAGTTCAGATCTAGCGGATAACGACTTCAGCTTGTGTATCAAAGTGAGAAAGCTCAGAGAACTTATTACTTCTTCTAAAACTGCAAGCCGAGCTTCACTTTCATACCACTTCCCCCTCAATGCTCGGGGTCTCTGTGAAGATGAGGGCACTCATCCTGCTCAAACATACATCAATACATACCTTTTTGGTACTATACACATTTTAAATGCCTAAGATAAATGATGTTCAGTTCAGTCAGTGATGGTTTGAGCATGAGTTATGTCTGCCTTTATCAAAGCGCAACACTTCTCAAACACCATTCTATACATACATGTAAATGTGTGGTCTTGTGGCATTTGTCTCCAATGCGTCATGTTGTAAACGCTTTCATGTTATTCTTCACGTTGCTTTTTGGTGAAATGCTCAGGCCACTGAAGTTCTTGACTACTGAAACACAAATTCTGAGTTGCTTTCACAGGTTAAATTAGTGTTCTTGCTGCATAGTATAAACCCCCACTGGGTGATTTAACTCACTTTTTTTTTTTTTTTTACACATTTTCAGAAAATGTGCTTAATGGACAAAGCTGTGTTGTCTGTAGAAGAGAGACAATCGAGCATGTGAGCAGAGTGTTCTGGTACGTAGTCGATACCACCTCAGCCTGCTCCAGGCCCTGCAAGGGTTCAGGTTACACACAGACACCTGCAGTGGCTTATAGTCCTAGAGGGATGAAAATTAGTCAGAGGAGGGAAATCCCGGTTTGACGGCAACGTTTTCTTGTTTGTGTCGGGAAAGAGAGCGAGACTAATCTGATACTACACTACAAGACATTTAATCTGAGCTTTGATGAGGTCCGTTTGTGTCCTGAATTATCAAGTGTGCATTAGACATATTGAAGACTCAGTTCCTTTACATCTAAATCAACCAAGATGGTGAACTTCTCCCTTATGGCAACTTCTGGATGGTCACATGGGGGGGGGGGGTTATCACCACTCATTTGTTTGTACAGGCAGGTCGAATATGCAGCCTCAGGCAATGTGAGTTTGTTAGTGCACCCTGCAAGCATAAAATTAACACCACACCACAGCAGAGGTATTTGTGGTTTCATTTGCCAGTGATCACAGTCAGCTTCTAATCTGATCAGCACGAGATGTGAGAAGGTCGATGTCCAGCACATGCCCACACTGAGACATGGGGCTATATGTGTGAATATGTGAGGGTGCTGTTCCTCTAGTAAGTCTGTGCTTTAAGGTGCTGGATCTCTTATCAGAGAGCGGGAGGGGAAGGTTCAGTGCAGATGTTGTTGTTGTTTTCAGGCAGAAAAACCGGCGAGTTACTGACAGTGACAGATGTAGACAACATCGCTCCAAGCTTTATAGCATGCTTTGTTTCTCTCAGATACTGATCAGCATGTCACAGCTGTCATGGAAAAAACTGCAATGTCCCTGTTTGGGGGAAGAGCACCTGTAGTGTAGTTTATCGAACAATTTCTGGCTTTTGATGATGAGCTTTCTAATTCAAATGAGGCTATATATTATTTTAGGTTATTTGTTTTACAGTTTTATTCTAAAAGTAGAAATACTTGTAAATAATACATACATTTTGTAAGATTTGTTTAATCTCATTTGAAGATGTAAGATTTGAGACAAAAGGTCCTCGTACCAGGAAATAACCAAAAAGAATAATACAAATTATAATTTAAAAAGTCTCTAAATTCCTGGTTGGCTTTCCAACAAGAAACACTTGAAACACAACTGTCGGTCACTTCAACCAAAGGCTCTAGTTTAAGGTGTCCTCTGACTCTTAGGCCCTATTTGATAATTCATCCATTAATCTATTGGTTTCTACAGACAGGACTAGATTACCATTACTCAGGGTCCGCCAACACACAGCCTGAAGTTCACCGTCAATTATATACCAATAAAGTAAAGTCAACAAAGACAGGACACTTTATTTCACCTCTTTTTTTTGGTTGACATTGTGCTCACAAAGCATTTATCAACAACGTTGTTTATAATCAAATTAGCAGGTTTATTGAGTTTATTGACACACAGAAAACCAGGGGCGGGGTTCTAGCATATAAACACAGGTTGGTATCTAGGTCTCTGGTAGGGGTGGGTGGCTTCATAACCAATGCATTGATACTATTAATATTAATAGTATCAAGGTGTTACCAGTATACCGGTCTACATGTTAGTGAGTTCTGAACACATGCACACCTATTGTTAGTGTATGCACTACTTACTGCTGTGTGTTTTAATTTACAATACTTTCTCTAATAGTTGAACCTGCATTCAGAGATGGCCTGGTTGCATCAGAGTCCCTGTACACCTGTTTGCAGGTCCAGTTTCTTTTGTTTCAATGAGTGTGATGCTTTCAGACCTTAACTACACTGATAATACTTTTTTTTTTTTTTTTTTTAAACAGCTGTACTTACTCAGCATTGGATGGAAACTATATGTTGTGGTATCTCTGGGTGTGGGTGTGGTGGGGTTATGAGTCAACTGGGACCCGACATTAAATGTGTGGCCCAGGGCGCCCTAATAGGTTAATCCGGTCATGTTCACTGTTATGAGGAGTGTTGTTACATAATTGTCCCCCCCCCTTCACTTTGTACTCACCCAGCCCTCGAAAGTCTCTCCTGTGTTGGAGGTTTTGATGAGGTCCTCAAACTGCACGATGCAGTTGGCCACAAAGTCATCATATCCGATTGGAGTATCGTGGAAAACTGCCATCTCGATCTGTTTCCCGTCGCTCACGTTGAGGCAGAACTCCTCGTTGTACGTCGGCGTGTTGGTTTTCTGTTTGGTGTGAGTTTGCCCAATTTTGTAGTCGTCCACCTTCACCACGATGTAAGGGTCCAGAGCCAGGGGGGCTTTGTTGAAGATGACGGAGTGGCGGAGGGAGAAGGTGGTGGGTTTCAGGTCCACAGCCTCACCGATCCGCAGTTTCAGATATCCGTTAAACTTCATGTTTTTGTTTTTAATCGAGCGAGTTCAGCCTCTCAAAGTAAAAGAGAAAAAAAATCACTCAAAGCGAAAAATAAAACAAGAGATATATTTTTTAAAAAAGCATTCAAACGCGCTTCATATCAACAAGGACTAAGTACAGCGCTGCAATAATAAACTCTACTAATAATCTCTGGTTTGGTGTCAGCTGTTGCGCTCCGCTGCTTTCATCCCGACCTCCCGCCTCACAGACACTGTCAGCCCCGTGAAGCTGTCTCTCTCTCTCTCTCTCTCTGTCAACCTGCTGCAGAAAGCGTCAGTAAGTAGGAAGCCACAACACAGACATGCTGAGGAGGAGGCACAAGTTCCGCATAACTTGTCACGGACGGACTACACACACACACGCACGCGCGCACATATACAAATATGTAGCGCATTGCCTCTTAACCTGTCACTGTTGGGTTTGTGTGTCACGTGGTTGAATTTGTAGTTTTTTTGTTTAGAAAGAGGAGTCTGGTACTATACTGACCATGATGCATCACCTGTTGTAAGGCTGTGGGGAAACAGCGCCCTCTAGTGGCAGTCGTACTGAACTACAGGGTAATGACTGTAAGGGATTTTCTTTCTAAACCTGACTTATTAGAGAAGCACAACAATGTTTTTCTATAACTAAATGTATGAATACATGCATGAATAAATAAATTAACTGAAATGCATGAATTGATTTCACAAAAATGGCTGATGGTGGGTAATGAGGGCTGTTATTTAAATGAAAGTCTAGAATATAATAAATGGATTTAGAGTTTCCCCCCCCAAAATGATCAGGAAGTGAGAAACCATACAGTATTAACTGATGGATTACCACCATACCACCATACATTATTACCAAAGTCAAAGACCAAAGGCAACACAAAAGCTGTTTTTATTAATGGCTTATTGGTGAACTGCAAAGCATTGATACATAATTGATTAACGTTTGTTTACTATCATGAACAGTCATATTTCTGTCAGCTCCCGTATGGTGCAACTGAAATAAAAATATGTGTCGATGCAGTCTGTTGAACAGCATCTGTTATAATAACAGTGTTCAGCAACAGTTCTCAACAAAACAGCGTCTCCTCAAGGTCCATTTAGTGGCTGACTCCAGGCAGCAGATGGGACTTCTCATCCATGTAGGAAATTAAAGGGTAAATGAAGTTTAAAGGGGTACGCCAGTGATTAAGTTATGTAGGAAACTTCCATAATGTTGGGGGACCTAAAAAAGAAAAAGACAAAAAAACAAATGGTTCACATTGGAGCAGCAGCGGGAGGATTGGGATTCATGACGTCAGTATTTCTACAATGCTGACTAAAAATATACTATAGTGTACTATTTCTCAACAGGGTTTTCATCAGGGTAGGCCAGTGTTGTGAAACCAGTCTGTGGCCAATCACAAATTTGAATGGTTTTGATTTGCACTGACATGATGAGTCAAATTAGAAATTAGTCAATCATAAGAAAATTACCAGTTTAAGTCATTTATCAAGCAGAAATACTGAACATTAGTTCTTTTTAGTTTCTTACATGTGAGGATTTTCTGCTTCTGTAGGTTCTGTCATTGTAAGCTGAATATCTGTCAGACAAAACAAGCAGCCGCAAGCAACAGACCAAAGGATTCATTGATTAATTGGAAAAAGCAAATGCAGCAAAGGAAAATTCCAGTTGCTGATGGAAAATAAATCCTGAGGTGAAAGTAAAAGACCGATATTTCAAATTGACTAATCCCCTTCTGTCTTTTCTTCCCAGTACTATCCCTTTTTCTTTTCTTCTTTAAATGCCATTCTCTCTCTGTCTCCCTCTCTCTCTCTCTCTCTCTCTCTCTCTCTCTCTCTCTCTCTCTCTGAGGGTGCTGTGCCTGCTCCATCCATAAATGCCACGATCAAAGTCTCCACTTTATTGGTGTTAGACTTGACCTCTCACCCCACTCTGCCAAATGTCAGCGCTCCACATCTCTCTGCTCCAGCTGTTATAAATAAAGAGCCTGGGTCCCAGATCTTACACATCCCTGGGATAGAGGCTGTCTTGTAAACAACGTCTCAGACATGACCTTACTGAGCAGAGAAGGTCGTAATGATGAAGCAGGAAGATAGCGGATTGCCTTGGTGCAGGAGCGTGAATACACTCACAGCCATCAGCAGCACCTAGCTTTGTATTCTCTGTCGGACCCGATGAGTTAAAGTGAAACCTTGTGCACCTGAAATGTATGCTGCAGATCACCTTGACCAAAGAGAGTAAACAGGCTGTTTGTTCACTCAACACTTTAGAGTTGAGGTATTTTAATGGTATTTTTACAATATGGTCACAAGTCACGAGTAGTGAGTTTACCACTGAAGCTCCATTTGAGTATGAAGATATTTTAATATAAAGATCTTATTAGTTTCAAATTCTCCAGCAGAGGGCAGAATAAGACTACTAGATTATGTTTTTCTCCTCACCGTCCACCCTCCTCTTCCTCCTTGCTTGCCTCTCTCTAATGATAAAGCAACTTTAAAAATCCCTTGTTTTAACCACGGAGCCAGACCTGGCATTTTTATGGTCCAGGATGATTTGTTTTGCTTCTTTGTTCTACCTGCAGTCCCCCTCTCTTTTTCTCCCCCTCAGCTCTGTCAGCTCAGTGGCTCTTTGCCTTGCATCCCTTCCTCCTCATTCCAGCCTCACTTTCTCTCTGCAAGTGGTTGTCATGGCCAAATTTTGAATTATGCACCCATGGGAGAAGTCTGCAACTTCACATGACTCTAGACAGTTAACTGAGCACACAGACTTGTGGGCTTCATGTGTACATGTACACACACCGACACGTGCACACCTTAGACACGCACACAGGCACGAATGCATATAATACTTCTGATGTATCTCCTCAATATGCCAAAGATTTTATTGCACACAAGCACAAGGCCAGCATCAAAAGCCTCCCATATTTCAGAGCAGACTGATTCTGTGTATACGACTTAATTTCAGCCACCTGTAGAGTTTCCACGTTCACTTCATAGTCTATGCTCCAATTTATGTCCGTGTAACCCAGGACAGCTCAATCCTCTGGCTCCCTGCCCAGGTACACCCTATAGCTGCAGCTAATGAACCATAGCATTGGTGCCAAACGGGGCAGTAGGGAAAGGAAAGTATGGCCCAGATATGGCGAAGCCCATACCCAACTCTTTTGACCTCAGTGAGAGAAATCCTGCGGGGCCAGTATACACCCCCACCGGGCCTCCACAGAACTAACCCCCATTCTAAAGTCACAAGACCCCAACCTCTCCTCAGGTATAGAAACCTACAGGCTCAACCGAGCCACACATGCAAACACACACACATCACTGGGGCTCTCCGGTGTGGAAGTAGAGGCACTCCATAAATCACACCTGTAAAAGCTGATTTGGCACTAAATGTGCTTTATTCACAAGTGGTGTTTACTGCCAGTGCTCTACCACAGGAAAACATGACTTACGATGGCACTATTCTGAAGAATTTTACCACGATGTTGTGAGAAGGTGTTTTGGTGTGTCATATTGAGATCATGCTTTTTATTATTCAAGACATTTATTAGAAAATGAGGGGAGATTGGACCCATGATTCTCTTCTTTTAACAGCTGATTAGTTGAAAATCAAAGAAGATAAAGTGTTTTTTGAAAAGCATGGGAGAAAAGAAGAGGAGAGAGGGATAAACATGAAGAGCGGTGTTGTGAAAAGTGGAGGAATGTAACTGTGAGAGTGGTCAGAGTTGTGTTGGACAGTGAAGCAGCGTGTAGAGGGAGGTGGTGGGGGCTATGTCACAGCCCCTCCAGTGTAATTGGCTCCAGATGTGAGGCAGCATGGCCCCTGCGCCAGCAAGGCGTCAGGGCCGCATTAAGAGCTCAGCCCAGGGCTGATGGGATCGCAGAGAGACAAGCTCACCCCTACTCACCACCCCAAAAATACAGACTGAGCCCCATACTGCGCTGCTGACCACTGGGCCTCCATGAATACCCTTCCTACCCCCCAACCCCTGCTTATCATGTGGCAAAATAACATAGCACTGCAACACATCTTAAAACATCTTTATTTTCCAAAGAGTCGTTTTACTTTGATTTCTGGTCGACAATATAAAATCTGTCTTGGTGACAATGGTGAACGCAATCTTGGAGTCAAGTCGGTGTGATCATTGTGTTGCTGCTACTGTGTTTGCCCTGATTGTGGAATGATGGGTGATGAGTCTGTCGGGCATTTCTTGCCCTGGACACTGTTTCAAGAGTCTCTATTCAAGACAGCAACATGCTGCACACATTGGTTTAGCACTGGAGTTTTCAGTATTTTTGGTGAAAGACAGTTTTGTTCAGCCTGTGGTGCTCTGACATCCACAATGGAGGTAAGGTGAAGGACATCACCCGTCTACACATGTGTAAGACGCATTGGCTAGTGCAAAGCAGAAGCAGATGACACTGTCAGGACACATGATGTCACACATAAAGACCACTAAAGATAAGCACAGCCTGTTGAGCTTTTGTTACAGGAAATAATGCTCTATGCTTCCTGTTACAAACAATTCCCTCAAACTTTGTTGGCTGATAGTGTCCTAGTCTCTACTTTACCCTGTTGGCCTTTTATCAATATGATTTTACAAAAAGCATAAAGACATTTGAGTGTAAAAACTCTATCATGGCCAGAACATCTGCTGTCTCAAAAGAGTCCTCAGAGCGAGGAATGTTCTTACTGTGACACAAAGAGCATGTTTTCTGATAGAGCGTGGAAATTGATTAAAAGCAGAAAAGCAGCAGGGAGTGATGGTAGACGGAGGGAACGGAGAGACTGGAGAGACAGAAAAAAAAATTAGATGGAGAGCACTTCATCAGTGATGACACTTGCGTATCGATGGCATTTGCTGAGTTGCAGTCCGCCACCATGACTAAGAAGGAAAACCACTCATCATGCCAACCAGCATTAAAAGGCTTATGTGAAAGGCCCTTGAAGACACCTTTCAGCCAGGAATGCTGGTTGAACGAGATCATACGGGTAAACAGAAAGCAGATGTGGATGTTCTCAGATTTGCTGCAGTTTCTGACATCCACTACCTGTAATGGCACGTTTATCTGATGTTGTTGTAACACAAACAGGAAGAGGAAGTGGAATTCTGCATTGGCTCTGCTTTCTGCCAGTAGTAATTTGTAGAGGATTGCAATTACCTCAACGCAAAGTCATACTGAACTATTTAGATGCAGATGATCTAATCCAGTTGTTCCAACCTTCTTTTTTTGTCCAGATGTAACCCCACAGCACGGTCAGATACACACCACCCGTCGATTCAAAATATTTTCCTATTAATGGATGAATAATTGATTTTATTTAACA